ACGCTATCTACATTAATGACTTACGTTTTGCCAAAAGCTATTACGTTACTTTGTACTTCGTTGTAACGAACCATCGGAGATCGGTTTGATCGATCGCGATCGGAGTGCGCTCGGCGCGTAGAATAAGGGTCAGAGTACAAAGCGACGTTACATTTACGCCAAAGCCCGTGCGCTGTCTTCGTTTACGACTTACGTCTTGCCGTAAGCTACTCCGTCACTTTATGCTCCGACCCTAAGGCGGAAGAATGTGTGATCGCGCGCTTCCGGGATCTCCTCCTCGACGTTCTCCAATTTCTACCCGCGCGGTCGGCGACCCAGTCTCGGGCCGGAGGTCAGGCCGGGTGACGTGGTGCACGCGTACGCAGGGGCGTGAACCCCCCGAAACGCTTCTTCATGGCCGGGCAAGTTGCTTCCGGCATGTGACTCGATACCGCGAGGTATGCGGAAACGGGGGCGACGGACGCGGACGCGGCTGGCGAGAGAAGCCAGGCGATAACGCAACCGTTGTTCGGTGCACGCGTTCGGTCCTCGCTCACCGCGAGGAGCGAAGGGGTTTTTCTTGTCCTCTTTCCTTCCCGAGTTGCACCGTGCGCTCGCGCGAAACGCGCGAACGCGCTCCCCTTCGCGTTCTCCTCGTCATCGCGTGACGCCGCCGCGTAGTCAGCAGAAATAAAGAAAGTCGCCGAGGCTGTGCATTATCGAGCCGATTACACCTCAACGATTATCGACACGCGCGTTCTTCATTGCGTGAAAACGCGAAGCTGACGATCGGCCGTTTGATTTGGGATTCAATTAGGGGAGGCTGCAATTTTTCCTTCATTCTTCTTCCGCGCGTAACAGCGAGGTGCGTTGCGTCGCGCGACTATTCGCACTCTCGTTACACGTTTATTTGCATAGTCTCGCGGAAGACAATTAAAAAGTCATAGCCGCGTCCCGAGGTCTACGGGAGCGTAGAAAATTAGAAAGGCGACAATTAACCGGCGCTAATGAAACCGCACACATTCTACAGATTTAATTGCACGTTCCTGTGTAGTCCCGCGTGCACACGCAGCAGCCGGGGAGGAGATAATTTAAATGTAATCGGGGCAACGCGGAAGTGCATTACGCAAACGTCGATCTTACATCATTCAACTATCGCGTGGAAGTGAACGACAGATTGGTGACAAAAAAATATCCCCGCGAAGGACGTAATATATCATACGCTCTATTCTCGCGCGTGACGTTGGTGGTGGCCGGCGTTAACGCGAATAACGAAAACCACACACGCTCGCTCTCCACCACGCCTTGCTCCTCGCGTTCCTCGTTCTTCAAGGGCGGCTCGGAAAATCCTGTCGGCGCGCCGGCGAATCTACAGGCGTGCCGATCGATTAGCCGGCGCGCTCGGAGCCGGCAAATTTTTCGGAGCACGCGGTGGCTCGCCTCGGCGAACCGCTCCGAAAATCCCGACGGCGATCGATGCCCCGATTTGCTCCGATTCGCGTGTACGTAAATCGAGTTCGCGCGCACCGCAAGCTTTACTGCCGATACCAGCGAAAATTTTGCGGTGCGAAAAGAGGATTCGGATTTGTTCGACGAGTCTCTCGAAAAATCCCACTCGTTTTCCTGTAATCGACAACCGTTGAAAGTGTCCGGAGATTCAAAGTACCTCGGCGGCTCAACGGCGCTTCGCCGAGAAACCTTTGGCAAAGGCTACGTGCAACACAGCAGCGAGTCCTCCGAAGTATGCGACCTTTTCAGCGAGTCGCACGGAACGTCTCGTACCGCCTCGCCGCGATCGATGCCGCGTACTCGCCGCGCTTCACGCTTCGGCTGCGAGCGCGTGCGGTGCTCTCGTCTTCCGCTGGCCCTGATCGGCGAAGGCGCCCTACCTACGGGGGGTTCGACGAGGCGCATCGGTCGAGCGAACCCAGGTGGAGAACGTGGAGCGTGGAGGCTGCCGGTCGTACGTTGTTTTGACACGTATCCTCCGCACAGGCGTTCCTCGTGCTCCAGAAGTGACAGCGAGCGGAGCAAGCCGTGCGTGCGTGCGGCACGAGACATGCGTCACATCAACGGCACCACAACACCCGCCATTCGCCACGAGCCACCACGACGCGTGCTCGTATTGGACGCGCGCTCTCGCTTATACGATTCTACCTCGGACCCTCGGCCCGACGATCAACGCACCTAGGAAGGCCGCGCCTGGGTGACTCGGTGGTAGGCGCAAGAGCTGGTCCGCTGCGGCACCAGCACCGTGACGGCCCGGCCGAGGTCGGATCTCGGTCGACCTCCTCGCGGTGCAACGCTCGCTGCGACGCGAGTACGCTGCATCAGTCGGGGGAGGAGGCTCGACAGAGGCGCTCTTTAAACGGCGTTTAAACTACGACTCGGTCTCTCACTCGCTGCGACACGGAGGAGGACTGTCATGGCAGTCATGAATTGGGAGCGGGGCCGGTGGCGACTGCCAGCGCCTTCGGCCAGACAACGGCCTGTTAGCCAGCACCCTTCTTTTCCAGACAGCTACAACCAGTGTCGGCGCATGCGTGCATGGTTTTTAGACCTTTCGATCCACCGGCGGAGCACACGGCTTTAGCGGCATCTTCTAAAGCGGCCCAGGTCTTTGACTCCGATCCCAGCCGCCGCGTTCTGGTCTGCCACGGAGAAAGGGAGTGATTTCACCGTCAGTCGGTTGGAGAACTGAACCAGCTGTAGATCTGATGGAGGAAAGAATCGCAGTTCTCGTAGTTCTGAGTTTGACACAACGATGCGATTTAATAATAATCAAGGAATGAAGATGATAGTACGATTGAAAGTACAATTATATAGTTTATTTTAAAAAAGGATGTATTAACATTTGAACAGTACAAAGTACTCCAAAACTATTTTACGTTAGAAACGTAATGTTACAAAACTACCCTTCCATACCTATTTATAGTCGTGCACGAAAACTATAGTTGGCGCTATATTCATTGATTTTCTACAATGTTCAATGCATCTTACTCTGATGTTCTTCTAAGTTATTTTATTAATATCTTTGATTTATTGTCGACAAATGTTTCTTCGTGCCGCCAGCTGGCAGCAGTTTCTCTGTACACGTACAACCATAGTGTAAGTTAAGAGACACGTACGTACGATTTCTCGCAAGTCTCACAACCTATCAGCTGACGGCGCAGCGTCAGTAACTGATTGACTCTGCTGGTTGCATTCCACAGAAAATCTAATGAAGCATCATGTGGTGTCGTAACGTCTTGAGGACGCGCACTGTCTGCAATAAGCCGGCTGTACTCGCCTACTTCCAATGTTTGACGAATGACAATCTCAACGGTGTCACGTTGAGGCATCCAGCGCGACGTTTACTCGTTTCGGGTACGCGTGAATGTACGATCGGCGATGTCATCGATCAGTGGAGTCGCCGATTTGAGAGCGAAGGCATACCGGAGCCGGTGGAATCGATAGAGCATATAGTGGCGCATGTCATAGGCACCAAGAAGGTATCGGCAATCGCGCTATTGTCTCATTCGTAATTGATTATTGACATTCAGCGCATGGTAATAATTGATTCATTTTATGACGTGCGCATTTTTTTGATCATACCTTTTGCATTACTTACTTGGACAAGCTACTTGTTACAAATTTTACGATTGTCGCACACCAAAGTTGGAGGTACAAATGTATATTGGAATATTATCGCAAGACAGTACAAATATACCTTGCCAAAAATATGCTAAAGCTTGATTCTGGTGAAGATCTACCATTAGACTCCAGCAGAATCAACAAGTGCAAAATTGCTCTAATTCTTTCTTATTACTTGCAGATAATAGATATCTTGAGTGTCAGAAATGACCCTCTCAATGCGGGTCAAATTGAAAAACTGGAGGCGTTGTGCGAATGTCGATTGTCTAGGTAAGAGATTCCTTGAGTACGACCTTTATACTGGATCAAACTGCGCGAAGTCCTTCGCGCTCGCTTGTGAACGCCAAGTCCTTGCAGGATGCCAGTTCAGTACATTATCGGCGAATGGGACTTCCGAGACATTACCGTGAAGCTTGTGCCGCCGATTTTTATTCCTCGCCCAGAGACCGAAATACTGGTGGATTTCGTGTTGAAACGACTGAGCTCGTCGCAGACCGACAATTGCGAGGTCCTAGAAATCGGTTGCGGCTCGGGCGCGATATCGCTGGCTCTCGCTCACGCTTGTAAAAGGGTACGTGAAATGATCATTTTGCTGGGCTATTTTGTATCCTGCTAAGAATAACCTGACGAAAGGTAACAGAATAATGAACGAAAGATGGGCGAAATAATATATAATACTTTTCTAGATAAAGTGCACAGCGATCGATGCGAGCCCGCACGCTTGCGATTTGACGATGATAAATCGGAGCAAACTGAACTTAACAGAGCAAATCGCAGTATTACATGCGACCCTAAAGTCGGATGGTAGTATCGAAGTTTCGAGTAGCTTGAATGGCGTCGGTGATGTCGATTTGAATTCCAAATTATTCGATTTTGTGATCAGTAATCCGCCATACGTGCCAACAAAGAAGATACCGGAGCTACAGCCTGAGATAAGAATGTAACGCACAAAGTGAGATTGCGAAAACTTCGAATTCCACTGTGTAAATAATTAATGATAAATTTATTATGTAGTTACGAGGATATCAGGGCGTTGGATGGCGGTGACGATGGGCTGAAAGTGATCAAGCCGCTCTTAAAATACGCTGCCAAAGCGTTGAAACCCGGCGGGCATCTCTTTGTGGAAGTTGACCCTACGCATCCGGAGTATATACAATTTTTTACAAATAAATATCCAGATTTTAAGCTCCACTATGCACACACATACAAAGATTTTTGTAATAACGATCGTTTCGTGGAAGTAGTGAAAGTCAGTTGAATAAGCGATTCTTGATTCTATCATTCGCTACACTTGTGTATATACGTTGTATATCTATTTTATACTGTTATTTTATAAAATAGTCTTGAAATAAAAACGATACACACATATCAGGTTATACGTATATATTATACAAGTGTTTATTGTGTGTGCATTTCATCTGAATTATAGATATATGCCTATGTTGGATGGATCAGTCGCAGCAGTTCATACCAATTTATTATTCAAGCCAAACTTTCTATCCATGATTGTATTGCATTATGTTTGCAAATTGTTTGCATCCTATGTTCAACGTAATGATATATTTTTAGATTATCTTGCATATTATATAAGTTTATTACATATTTGATCTAAGTTACAGGTATATTCCCACGTGTGTTGAACAGATCAGTCACAGGAGTTCATAATAATATTTTTACACTTTAATCAGTCAAACTTTCTATCCATGATTGTACTGTATTAAGTTCGCAAATGCATTTTATGTTCAATGTAATGATATATACAGTGACTGATTAATAAGTTAAAGTGGCACAATTTCGACTTGTAACAGCAAAACTATGACATGATTTATTTTTCATCTCTTATTATAATATTTATGCGTGTAAATATGATATATCTAAAATGTTCTGCTTTTTGCTACGTTACAGTTTATATAATGGAAAACTTCGACGTCGAGTTACAAAATTTTGTGGAAAAGATTTGATTTGAATATTTACACCGTCCTCAGACTTAAGATTTAACATATCACTTCGTGAGCATTTAAGTTGATTATTGCATTCTATTTTACTTGTTAGTGAGCTCTACTGGGGCGAGAATTTTTCAAGTTCCTTTTTGATTGACGCGATCAAAGGTACCGCGGGATCTTCCGGTGGTAGTCTGCTATCCGCTAATATACGTCTGGTGTCCACTTCCGGCAAGTTCGGTCTGTGGAACGGACCCGCGCTGAGTGGCCTTGAACCCCAGGCACCGCGAGAATGAACAGATTCAGTTTGGCCAGTTTCTGGGATATCCTCCACGTTCAGACCTTTACGTGGCAACGATGTACGAGGTCGTGTCTTCATTTCCATCGTTGGCGTTGCTGCTGGGCTAATTGCACGAATATTTTTATTACTTGATAAATAACTTTTATTACTTGATCAATTTTATTTGTGTAACACACAAGTAGTGTGTATACAGGGTGTCACGGATAACGTGTCCGTCCGCTCGTATACAGGTAGCGCGGATTAAGCTGAAAAGGAAAATTATGTACCATTTTGTAAAATTCGCAATAGTTTTCGAGTAACAAATAACAATATCTGTGTGAATGAACGCACGAGAGACAGTAGGCCGGACTCGAGCGAGCACGTTAAATGCCATATTTGTTTAGTCTCGTAGCAACGGTAGGCGTCTGGTCTGGATAGCGGGAGGTGGAGCGATGCACCGGAAAAAAGTTGTCACGCCGCGAGCGGCGAGCTTCAGATGATGCTCACTGCTCGTCCCTCACCGATATACAAGACCAAGCAAATAAGCCATTTAATATCTGACAAGTTCGGCCTATCGCTTTCCTCGCGCTCATTCGCTCAGACGTTTTAATTAATTACTCGATAACTACTGGGAATTTTACAAAATGGTACATAACTTTTCTTTTCAGTTTAACCCGCTCTACCTGTATACGAGCGGATGAACACCTTATCCGAAACACCCTGTATAATAAAATATGTCGCAAGTTGATTTGTCACTTTATAATGACTTGTGTCTCTCGGGACATTTAGGCCGGTATTTATAGTCGGATCTTATATTCAAGACCGTCTTGAATTTATCTGAAGATGCTGCACGGAACATTTCATTGGCTACGGAGTATCTAAAGATAATCTTGAGGCAGTCTTGAATATAAGATCTGACTATGAACATCGGTCTTATTTCTCGCTGGTTCCAAAAATGAAAGAATGCGTATATTTGATAATGTAGCAACTTTATTAACTGTAATTACCTGTTAGAAGAAGAAGAGGAAGAAGGATATGTACCTGATGTGGTCGGATTTGCCTCTGGCCTCCGAAAATACCGCGAGCGTATCCGCTGCGCTTGCAACGGAGATCGGCGGCTGCGGCGACCGTTGCCGCTCTTTGATCTTGACGTCTCTGCTTCCGAAGAGACTGAAGGAGTCCTCGAGCAACTCGTGGAGTCTCCTTCTGGCGCGGCCCACGGGTCCGGATGGTAGACGGTACACTCCATCGATATCCGTTTCGGATGCACCGTTACCTTTAGAGTAGTTGAATCTTTCGAGAGATTGTGTGAAGAAACGAAAATTTCATATATTTCGAAATAGTCGATTGCGAACGCATGGTGTGCTTTGCCGTATTTTTGTATTATAATAATTCGCACGCTTCTACCTATCCGTTCGTAATCGACGTTGACAGAAACATTGGTGTCGCTGGTGGAGCATTTTCAACTAATACGAGTATTCAGATATTAATAGTAAACCTAGTCGAAGAAGCAATGTGTTTACCTTCTGTGGAGAACACCTGCTTGTTAAGATTCCAAACGATCGGCCCTACAGCTCCAGGGTCCTTCGAGGCGCTCGACGTTCTCGCGAGGAAAGTGTCGTCGATATCGTCTCTGTCGTGATGCACTAATTCGGGAGAATCGATGTCTAAGTGCCTGACCTAGAGCACGTATTATCTCTCATTAGAACCAAACGTGACTAGGAATTTATGTCGCACGTGAGTGGGCTCATTTTTCGAAAATTACCATGACGGGTTCCAACACTCTCGACAGTGGTTCTACGCTGCGCATACTAGGAAATTGCTTGCACGATGGCATTGATAAATAAGATCGCGGCGAAGCGGTAGATTCTTCCTTATGTTTCACGTAACCGTTCTCCAAAGACTCCAGTGTCTCTATATGATCGGTTAACGAGTCCGGTGATCCGGGTCGGTCCATTGCGTCTGTTCTCGTCATTCTTCTATGAGACGTTCTATATTCCGTGTATAAAGTATGCAATTATCGCATGTACATTTTATCATTTAATTATTAATTATACAATTAGTTTAATATTAATAGCTTAATATATAAACGATAGTCGTCTCTGCTCCGATTGTCAGGAACTTGATTGATCACCTTGCTTTCTTAATCGCGTGTTCTTGAGTACCCCAGGGGACTGATCTGCGGGTTTTCCTCGGTTCTTCGTCGTCGTCGTCGCTGGAAACTTCGTGAATACCCAAGTCCAGACTGTCGGGCGTGTCGGGCGTGATCGGAGTGCGGGATAAAGTCCGCGGAGTTTGCCGCTGACTGGTACCGTCGGTCTGCGAGCAGGGGTGGGTCGCATAAGGAACGATGATATACGATCCGAAGAGTAAGAATTTGCTCGGCGGAGTGGGACTACTGTTTTGTTAGAATCAATATTGTCCCGGCATCGGAGAACCGAATTGTCTTCCCTCGTAATTTCCGACGTCGTTTCGTCGCTCGTTCGCGTGCCGCAATGGTTTTAATCCGAGCTCATTTCCCCATAATACCCCGTAATCTTTATCACGCAAGAAAAGAACTTTAAAAATTATGAAGTATTTCTTAACTGAGAATAGTACGAGATTCTGCAATTCCACACGATGCGCCCTGGCTGTTTATTTTGTCGTTTCTATCGCACGCTCTTCACACAACAGAAATTTCTATGTGTGCTGACTCGCGCCGTTTATTTCGTCAGGACGATAAAGTAAAAGCCGTATTGTTCACCTTGATTTCCGTTTCCGACGTTGAAAACGCCGCGTTATCGAGGCCGGACGTCGCGGCTGCGTATTCACGGTCCTTCTTAAGAATACTTTTATTTGGCGGTGCAACAACGGCGCTGTGTGCCCTTTTTCTTTTGGCAGCCAAGATCAAGCCAGTGAGAACAAGAATCAGCAGAACGACACCCGCGCTAGCGGCACCAATTAGTAGCCACGCATCTCTCCTCCTCGACAGAGCTAGAGGTCTACTCTCCTTCAGATAAGCTACGCAAGAACGTGACACACAATTTGTTTTTTATTACAATTATACCAAATTTAAGAAAATCAGATTACCATTTACTTACGTTCGCTTTGAATAATCACCGGTGCACCGAGCTCCAGAGCGACTTCCTGGGGCGAGAGAAGCGCCATATCTCTCGCGGCCGTTTCAGCAGGAACGGGCTTGCCGTCGAGATGAACCGAATAGATCAATCTCATAGCACCGCCCTCGATAACGCTCGTATTCTGCATTCTAACTTTCACGACCCCCGGAATCGCGCCATCCCCTAAACGCAATCTTGAGCGTATTACACTCGTATCTCCGGTATCGTTAGATCGACTTCTGAAGACGTTGTCAGTATTCAATTTCGAATCGGAGGAGGGAATTGACGTCAATTCTGGTGGCGATTGTTTGCTGGAATCGTCGATTGTACCGGGGCCGAGACGCGTTGAATCGACAGCTATAGATTCGTCGTTCTGTGCGGACAACGATTTTGCTTCTCCTCTCAACGTTTTCATGATCTTCTTCAGTGCGAAATCGTCTTTTGTTGATTTTTCGTAATCGTTCGTTGCGTCGGTGTCGAGTGTCGGCAGCAACATCTTTTTCGGCCTGGGGATTTCAATCATTCTCATGGATTTGATTTGCGAGAAGTTCGAAGAGTGTTTGTCATCAAGTAAGCTTGGAACGCTCGTTTCAGTTTCTACGCGAGTCGAAGAACTATCGACAGTGCCAACCGTTAATTCGGATAGTTGAGCTTCGGTTGTATTTGCGGAAATCTCTTCTCGCGGGACTCTCGCTTGGGACGAAGCTCCAAGACGTTCTTGTGCGTTCTATGGGTATCGAAAAGAATAAGAATAATAGATAGAATTAGCACCTAAACGAATATTTTACCTTTCGGTTAATAAAACTGCGTAACAACGCGTCTCTTCGGGACCGTGGATCCGTCGATAGCAGACCAAGATGTCGTTGCTGCTGTCTGGAAAATGCGGCGCGATACAAGCGAGCTAAACGAAGCTCGACTTTGGGTGGTACGGCTTCACCTGGTCGAAGAACCGTCAACAGCCAGTACCTATCGGAACAAATTTAGCATTCCTTGTTACACCTCTAAACATTGCAAAGCGATATTTATATAGATTGATGTAATAAAGATATATTTATATCGTCAATCTATTTATCAAAATATCTTTTTCTCAATTATCGCCGATACTGTGCATTCTCCAATTTAACAATATGTGAGATTAAAAGTATAAAAGAGTATATTATCCTGCGACAATTAACCTACCTTGGGCCTGGGTCATCTCCGATAAGGATCCCGATGCTCTGATCGTCATCGTCGTCCAACCTAGGCGTCGGTTCTATGCACGTGACGCATTCTGGATTGTAATTATCTGGACGATGAGGGGATATGGGGTCTGACGGGCCCTTCTCGTCGGTCGGGGTATAAACTGTGACAGTGTGAACGATCGTCCTTGTCTCGTAATAAGTTAAACCCTGACTGGGATCCACCCATGGCGGCGCGTCTTCCAAGCCGGTCCAAAAGAAATCTTGAAGATGCACCCGCCGTCCCGGCAGATGTTCGATCACAATAATTTCGTCTTCTGTGCACGAGCGAAAATTGTTTCCTGTGACTTTGTTACGTGTATAAGGTCCAATGGAAGACGAATATACGACGAACGTATAATGGAACGTTCATTATTGAAATTACAAAATTGACTTCGCTTGCCATCTCTATAACTTTGTACTTTGGATATCACCGAACCAGCTACCCTAATACGTAATCTGGAATTGTACCTTCTACAAAGTATGAGTGCTCAATGTCCTACGATTACGATGAATACTTCCGTGAGTTATAAAATTCAAGGTCCAATTGAGGACGGAATGTACGACGAACGTATAATGGAACATTCATTATTGAAATTACAAAATTGACTTCGCTTGCCGTCTCTATAACTTTGTACTTTGGATGTCAATGAACCAGCTACCCTAATACGTAATCTCCAGTTATTGTACCTTCTATAAAGTATGAATTCTCAATGTCCTACGATTACGATGAATACTTTCGTGAGTTATAAAATTCAAGGGTCTCGTGGTGTATCGATGAAAGCTCATGTAAAGGTTCTGCGAGACAAAAAGGGCAAGGAAACACGGGTGTTTGTACGCGGAAGCTCTTTCACGAGGTACCTCGTCGACGGGGCCAACGACCGGCCGTCATGCGACTTATCGGCGATGTCACGACACCGCTGAGGATGAGCCGATCATAATAAATGCGACAATAAGGAGGACTAAGATGGTGATTCCTTATCACGCGATCACGTGATTGAACATCATAAAAGTTGTACAGTCCATTCACATGGGCGAAATTATTTTCCTTGGAACTGCAAATCAAAACTAATCTCCGTTGTCGCGTTTATCATGTCATTCTAAGAATCTCAACAATTGGGGAGTAACGTACTCTCTCGAGCTGAAAGTTTTATATTTATCGTTACACGTTAATGGTCGAAGGCTACGACTAAGTAAAAAGAGTAAGGCTCGGTTTCGCCAAACGTCGCTTAACTTTAGTCTTAGTTTAATTCATGTTTGGTTCTTTCTAAAGTAACAGTTGGAAAGTGACAAAGAACGAATTAAGCTAAGCTAAAGTTGAACAACGTTGGTGAAATCGGACCTAAGACAGAGCAAGAAGTTGATCAATTTTAACGGCAGGATTCTCGGAGTAAAACTGATTTTGGGCATCGAACAATTTCAGATTTTGCAACTGGCCACCGCTCAAATTATCCATCAATTATGACACTACGTGGAACGCGTTCTATTCTCCTCGCGGAATTTTTTCGCGTTGTTACGACGACCTGGTTTCACGCTTCGCTTGACTTTCCGGTACGGAAATATTGTTCAAGTTCCACCTATCCGAACGTCCATAGCTTTTCGCAACTTCTACCGAGTAATTTATTCCTGTCTTCAAATTCGTCGATGTCACCAACGACTGAGAGAATGCAATAGGTCCATTTACAAATGTAGCATAAACTGCATTAGCACACGTGTATTCTACTTTTGTCGTTGAAGAACTTCATTCAATCATTCCATATATACGCAGAGTCCACAGTCACGCGGCATACCTTCAAGTATTTTTAGTACGTGATGGTAGTGTTAAATCAATAGAAAACGGAGTTCCTATGGTGAGAATGAGCCGAATTGATCGCTATTAACCCCCGTACGCCGCGCTGCTCATTCCATCGCATTCTCGTTGGTATTCCCGTAAATTCACGAATATTGCATTGACGTTACTACGCGACATGCACCGAGTAATGACGCTTAATACAACGGGTTTTAAGAAAAATCTATTTTTTTTACGGTTTACACATCTTTGCTTCCCCATAGAGGAAGCTTTGCTTTCTAAATATTACCATCAGGAAATTATGGCAAAGCTCATCTAGCAAATATTGGTGTTTCATCACAATCAGAGTAGCACCATATTCGCGTATGTAGCATGCCGATAATAATATCGATTACCTGGCGCACACCTGCATAAGAGCGCTGAATTACTTAAGCTGTCTCTTAGACTGGCGCCTCGTCTGGCAGTCGGCTCAATTTCGAATAACGCGAGCTGGTAGCCCATTGACAACAAGGTCACGGAAGAACGCACCCCGCGCGGAAATGAGATCACGGAACACGCAGTACGCTACTTGTGTTTTCACGTGCACGTGTATCACAATGTGAAAGAACGGCTCCGAATCGATCGAGCACGTGGAACCACGTATATCTGCCGCTGGCTGATTCACACACGCTACCTGTACCCGCGTAAAATTCACCGCGAGATACCAGCGCTGTGAAATACGCGACTTATTCACGTGGCGTGTAAACTCGTTTGTGTAATAATTTTTCAACAAGGTATAAACGTACAGTACGGAAAAGCGAAATGTCGAGACACGGCGTACGATAATTCTGCCACCGAGGAAAAATAGTCGAAGAGTGAGAAATAAACGCAAAAAAATGTAGTAAGATTAGAAGCAAAACGAAGCAAAGTCTCAAAGGCAATCTAAGTACAAAAGTGAGCATTGTAATATCGATGTAAAACGATGCGAAACGATGCGTTTGTATATCTCTACGTGAGAAACATTTATCACTATTGTCTATATTTTCTATATAGATTTATACAGATATATAGATTTCTCCACGGTCAACTACTTAAAAAATGCATCGCACTAACCGGCTCCCGGTGGCATGGACGCGAGCACTCTCGAGATATTGGAGTTCTGCAGTAAGAAGATCGTAATCTGCACGACGGTGCCGAAAGACGCGGTTAGCGCTCCACACAATGTACTGCATAGTAGCATCGCGTTAAGCGCTCCCCGCTATACTGATTCGACGACGCTACGGGGTGTTCCTCATGGATGGGTGATAGTATCGGAGCAGAGTAGAGTCTGCGCAAAGGTTGCGTGGGTGAAAGAACTGATGTGTAATAACAGGTGAATGGGAATACAGAAAAGATAAGAATAGTCATCGGCAACTAAGATTTTATTTCAATCATCTTTTCTCTCCCTCCTCTTTTTGCTGATGGAACCGTTTTTGCTCATTCAACTAATGCACTGTCCATGAGATCGTGAGTTTGTACTTCAATGCAGTTTACCTGTAATCCTTTTTACCTGCTGTCGCTACATGGATATCAATGTGTAGCTCTTTTAACGATTACTTACGTCTGAAAAACTACCTTTATGATAATTAACGAATTAAAATTAAACTTCGGCACTAAGGTTTTTTGTAATAAAATAGTAAAATTGTCACAGTAAAATTCCAAAACTTAATAATATTAAGACAAAATTATGTATTGATTAAAACAAATTTTTTATTCACATTTTAAATTTTGATCACATAAAATTTCTCTTGAACGAGATAATTATTGCTACAATATCTTTGAACATTATTATAATTACGTTGTGGGTATATTCATAATTTAAAAAAAATAATCGCATAACTATACTTCTTCTAAAATTTATTATTAATCCTATGCTGATGCAATAAATATATAAATATATTTTAATACATATTCAAAATTAATATTGCTTCTACAATCTGATATAATTATATTTAACATATGTCACTATAGTCATCATTAACTATTTGTCATTACAGATTGCTTTTGATGCTTTTGAATACTTTTAACATATTTCCAATTGATCGCAACTTTGTAATGCTCACACTGAGAAAAATCCGATGAAATGCAGTTACCGATGAAATTTTATTAAAAAACCGATCACATTTTCCATCGGATATACAATTTAATCGGATATATCCGTTTGTTATTATGTAATTGGATTCTCCAATTATATTTAATCGGACATTTTTCTCAGTGCATGTTTAGCATTGTGATACTATTTCGATGTAATGCACGCCCACGTTTTCTTCAAATACATCACAGATTGCCCTCTTACTATATACTCACTTAATTAATGCATCATCTACACTTCTTATAATTTATTAACTCATACCTTCTTAACTTATGCTTTCATTCTCACACTTTCATACCGCTTTCCATATTGATACTCTTCCCCATTCGCTCATACAGTGGACTCTTATTACATAATGTCACAGTTTAATGACTCTATATATCTTCTATATTGTCTTTTATATTCCGATCCAGATTTCCAACATGATCCATTTACTATTTATGTCCACGATTCAGTATTAATAACGGCGCCCGCGAAACGATTCAGAGTGACGATGCAGCTCGAAATATTTCCGTGCTTAGGAACCATTAATATGCAAAATAGGATGCTCGTAATTTATTCATTAACAGCGCACATATCAATTTCGCAGCACGATGCTCGAGACCCACTAACCAAGTGAATCGCATTACTTTTTAATCTCGCCTTTCACAGAGAGAAGATCATTAATAATTACACGTGCATACTGATTCCAGGAATATTTTTATAATTAAATAGTTTGTAGCACAAATGGAGCATTTGATTACATACAACAAAAATGTATTAATACATTCGTGACATCGAGTATACATTTACTTTCGATGACCTAAAATAATAATAAACATTACTGTAAGAGTAGTTCTAAAGTAACGTTCTGTTGTAGCACAACATTAAATTAAAATTACATCGCATAGGCTTCCAGTTGCTACACGGTGCTGCAATCTGTTACCGAGCTGTCGAGGTAACACAGCTTCATACTTCTCGAGTTGTGACACGACTTACACCTATCAATCTCGATCGCAAATATTTACAAAGTTGTGATCTGAGAAAAATCACGTTAGTTCTAACATCAAGTATGTGTTATTGTTCTGATACAGAAAACAGTCATATTTATATATTCTTCGTCTTTTTAGGAATAACGTAATTTTTTCTACGTCAATGCATTCTCATTTTTTTTACTCAAAGCCTCACTATTCTTAGAATCATTAATTGTTTTCCTGTCTTATTATAAACGCAAACTTCGGAAGTAAATTTGCATGTACAAGTTGTAAACTGCTGTGTGTAAGAGAAAGTGAAAATCAGGAACTATCAAGGTGTACTAACAGGAATAATGCAAATTAAATCGCATGACCTCGTGCGATCAGCGAAATGTCAGGGCTGCGGGTGAGTCTTAATGCCCCTTAGATCTTTCTTTAGTCAGCTTATGTCGACGGCGAACTAGTCGCGTTTCGTGCTGGATTTCGCATGAACATGTTGATACAGAAATTTATATTCTACAAATTTACATTTGTTTATGCGTTTGGTTATTATAGCATAACTAATCTATTTTTTACTTGTAATATTTTACGCTAATATTTTAATTTAAAATGTTGCTTTAAATAAAAACAATTTTTTTCACTTTTTTATATTTTACGCGTATTGATCCGCTTGTTCGTTTTATCTTTAAAGCTAATTTTGTGGATGCTACTCAATCGTACGGTTACATTACGTCATATACTTGTATCGTGACTTTCTACCTTTTTTAGTGATAAAAAAAGATATTTAATCTCGCCGAAAAAATTCTCAAGTGTCGATCTCAAGCTAAGAATACTCGTGTTGTAAGATGAACAAATTGAGTTCCGCTCTGCACGCAAATAGCGATGGAACGACATCAACGTCGGTGGAAGTAATTTTATTGCTTCGCAGCCGTACATTATTTCCGCCATTCCCACAAGTAGCTTGATCTTGTAAAAATATACTGTGCAACAAAAAAATTATCCCTCTCTCATTTTGAACAAGGGACATGGCGATTTACTTTTGCGCAAACGGCAAATCCGCAAATAAATATGCAACCTTATCTAAACAGACGCGTTCGCAGAAGAGTTTGTCATTCCCAATTTCAGCAAGTTTTCGATATTAAAACTTTCTAATTTCAGGAATTACGTTTCACAACAACTTGCCGGCAGCTACTTCGCGCGAGTTCCATTATCGACCGCGTGCACTTTCTCAATGAGTTTGATTTCGACGTCGCCGCGCTTCGTACGAGGCCCCTTCCGGTTTTCCATATCATCTTCCCCGCGATTAGGCACCTCGCATATGTTAAGTTATGTAAACGCGACTTCCACGAGCTTCAGAGCGCGGCAATCCGTTACTTTGATTAGATTGAACTTCCCTCGTGAGAGATGCATACGCCGCTGTAAAATGGCGGGCTTCCTGTCCCAAGAGCATAAACCCGTTTGACGATAATTTCTCATTTTCCAGAGAGATTACCGAATAATTCTTTTCGCGATTTGCCATTCTTATAAGAATATCCCAATCCCTCGATTGTAACGAGCGCTTTGAATAAACGCCGACACTTATGTAGATCTCTTGATGACGTTGAGACCGTGTATTCCGTCTTCGTAAATGTAAGAGATCGTACCTAGAAAGTATTCTATAAATATGATCGTTACGGGCGGAGATAGAGTTTACGGTATTTATGAATTATGTATGATTCGCATCGAAAAGGAAATGCCACGCGCGATCATCACGTCGTGAGGCAATATTTACACCGGATGATTTGAGGCTGCAAATATGTATTTGTTAAATCGCCGGATGAACCTTGGGCATTGTGTGAGACTCACTGATCGAGTCGATTGAAGTTGCAAATTAAACGATTGCGCAATAGATATCGATCAAATCCGAGTAAGCCGTCCATCAATCTTCTCGCGTTTTCTCGCGATTTCTCTGTATCTGTCGTTATTGCCGCCGATATGAGGCAACCTAATCCACTTAAAGCCATCGATCGCTAATCGTCGCATTTTGAAATATCTATCTGATGAGGCGAGCTTGTAATGTCTATTTACGGACCGTAGGTGCGAAAGGGAGAAGTTTAGAGGCCTCATTCTTTCCCTTCCCTTTCTCACTATTTCTCTCTCTAGGCGTGTTTTAGTGGAATTTTTGATAGTAAACGACGATGAGAAACGGACCACGGGGGAGACCGATAAAATTTTATCTGGCGACGTGAGAGGATAAAAACGAATATTCATTTTTTTCTGTTTTCACGTACTAAGTTGGGCCTGTATTCCACCGCAAGCGGTGTAGCAAGGGTCCAAGACTCCAAAGAGAGTCAGGTAGAATGAAACACGAGCGATATAAAAGGTAGACGCGAACAGGTAGATAACCCGAGAGACAAGGAAAGAGAGAGAATATATATCGTTGGAAGAGGCGCGAGAAAGAAGGGAAGAAGCGAGGAGACGGGAGGAGAGGGGAAAAGACCCGTTCCTCTCTCTTTCTTCCTCGAAGAGCGGGCGAGAGGTGCCCGAGACACGAATTCAGGACGGAATCTGTCCGGCAGCGCCGGTTAGAAGTCGCTGGCCTCTCTCTTTCTCTTTCCGAGAGCGGAGCGGAGCGACGTTACCGTCGCGACCGGCCGATCCCAAGTCGATCTCCGAGAAGGTGTGGCGGTCGGAGATAGAGAGTCGGGGAATAGGAGAAGCGAGAGAAAGGGCAGAGAAGATCAGGGAGACGTCAGGGACCTTCGGGACGAGCGTGAGAGGTCGCTATAGGGCCGGGCCGTAAGGCCCCCGCGGCCAAATCTCTGTGTTCGCCGCTCCTTCTCTCCCCCGTTCACCAGAGAGCTCTTTCTTTTTCTTCTTCTTTTCTCCCCCCCCCCTCTCTCTCTCTCTCTCTCTCTCTCGCTTACGCGCGGTCCCCCACGGAATTCAACGTATCGATATGCCCGAAATGAGTTTCGGTGCGTCCTCGGTGCGCAACAGGTCGCCGTCGCAAGAGGCGAGCCAAGCCGAGGGGCCCCACGAAGAAGGCCGATTTCGCTTCTCCGCGAGTCGCGAGGGGCCCGCTCTCCCGGTCCTCGCCCCCCTCCCCTGCCCCTGAGAGGCCCCGGTTCCGTTCCGTTCCGTTCCGTTCCCGCCGTTCAGATCGGCGAGCGTCACTCGGCAGAACGGAGCGGCCTTACGGCCCCGTGCCCCGTGGAAAAGTGGTTAGGTTCCCGCAGCTGTCAGACGAGGCCGCGAGTCACAGGTGTGCATATCGCGTTCGCGCGCCCCACGGAACGTGTGCGTGTTGACGATAGTGGCGGGACGCGCGGTGTTTCGTGCCCGCATCGATTGCGCAGGACCGATAGATCGCGGATCTGGCCGGATTTCGTGGCTTTTCCCGTCGGGATAGCTGGGCGAAACGCGAGGCGAGGACCTCCGACATATATACAAGGCAAGTGGCGACCTATACGGTAGTGTGTTAGCACACGGGGACCCAGTATATACACTTGCCCGCTGGGTGCGCGCGGGGGCCTAGGATTCCTCGGTAGAGCTACCAAGTTTCTCGGTCGATTCGGATGCGATGCCTTTAAATGCTCCTCGACAAATCGACCCGACATTGTGCTTCGATCGTTCGCCTTTGTTTCTATCTTTCTAATTGCAATCCAGATTCTTTTAAAACTGAAATAACGAATTTTCAAACCTCGTGAGTGTGAAAACTGACCGCTGTATTTAAGAAGAGAAAGAGGAAAGTTTGCAAAATTGTTACTCTTTCGAGAGCATTTCCTGAGATTCAGCCGTGCGTGCGGCGATACAATCGAAATATTTGAAATTTGATGCACGCGTACGGCATCGAGCGGAAAGGAGACGTGCGGAGCACGCTCAAGTAGTTACGGACGAATGTTTGAAGGATCAAAAGCGGCGGAGAAACGCATTCGCGCGAATACGATCTGAGGCTGTTTGAAACGCGGCGAATCTCGGCGAGAAGAAATCTCGCGCGCGTCCTCTCGTTAAAATACTTCCCGTAAAATCGCGGCAACGACGACAACGATCGAAATAACGAATGAGTCGTGGAACATCTAAAGCTGACACACGAGATCGACCACGTTAGAGAAACGCATAGATTTCCCTCGACGATCTTATCTCATCGATCGCGGCTAATGCGACGTATTATACGATCGGCACACTTTCATCTCGGAAAATATTTTCGTTACGAGGCACCGCGTCGTCGTTGAGGATCAGAAGGAAATGATCCGCCGCGAGATGGATAACGTGGAAACGGGTTTAAGCGTGAAAGTAATTGAGGAAGTGGATGAACCGACAGGCTCGCTCATGCCCCTCGCGCTGGCGGGCAGGTAAAAGCCCGACTCGGTGGAAAATCGACGTTTTTCCTCGATCGCGAGGCGCAGTGTGCAATTAAGGGAAAAATACGCGGGAAATAGTGTCCGTTTGCGCTCTTCACGCGATCGTAAGATTATCCGCAATTTCCGCGACTCTGACAAACACTTCCGCGCTAATGTTCGCATCATCGGAAGGCTGCATCCTCGTTATCCACCATACGAGAGACTTCGTCTCGGTCGCGTGATGTTACGGCATTTCTGTCGCGATTCTTAATTTTATTATCGAGACTCCTCGAATTGTACGCTGAGAAAAAGTTCCGTCGGATAAGCCAATTAAATAGTTATCGTATCAACTCCAATAATTACTTATATTCTGATAGAGGAAAACCGTTCGGAAAAAAGGTGCATAACTATTCACACTTACTAATGTGAAATATCTTGTAACATAATACGAATATCTCTAATGATTATTGGATTATACTTGGACAAGGAGCTTCGCTCACATATTACAAGCAACATTATAATAATATTTCACTCTTCGCGTGCGTTAACATACATCTGCGGTCTTAAAAAATCACTTTATAAAATTAACGCTAGTGACATATCGTTGTAGGGACAAAAACACGCTGAGGATGACTAAGTACGGTCGAAACGTTCGTAGATAATTAGCTAATCATAGATATAAGAAATGCGTTATCATTCATGTCATTGTCATAAGTGAAGTAACTGAAAAATTGTATAATGCTAAACATTGTAACATAAGCGGCTTCAACTCCTTTAAAAACTGAATTTTAAATTTTTATTTTACTCAATTAAATAGTGTTTCCGATTAATCTTTCCGATTACGTTTTCCGAGCAAATTATGGCTATGTCCGATAAAATGCAGTTACCGAAATGAAATTTGATTGAAAAACCGATCATACTTTTCATCGGACGTACAATTTAGTCGGATATATCCGTTTGTTATTATGTAAATGGATTATCCGATTATATTTAATCGGACATTTTTCTCAGTGATAATTAAAAGACCTCGTCGAGGGCGACGAACTGTACCTGCCGCTCAAAGAGTCGATTAATCACGTGCGTTTTCTACGTTAAATCAGCGCCACGCTGTAATTTATTTACCTTGAAATCGACGCGAGCTAAAGTTTTACGAACGAAAATAGAAGTATCGCGCGCGCGCAAGGAGGATTCTCGTTTATAGCTTTGAATTTTTTCCCCCTCAAATCGAATAAATCGACGGTACTCATCCGACGGGTCGATTAAACGTCGAATACGCCCATAATAACGGGCCGTCCACTATCCGGCGCATCCACCGTATCAATCCGTTTCCCGGATAACGAGTCCCACGAGCTATCCGTAGAGGACAAAGTGATCAAGTCCGTTTATTTCCGCGAGCAGCGAGTGATGGCCCTGCGCCTGAGGGGTAGCAAGGATGTCAAGAAGAGCTTCTACTACGTCTGGTACCTTGGCGCGAGGGAGGCCAAGGGGGTGGACGCGATGCCCGGTGCCATAGCTTACCTGCTGGAGCGGGAACGACTTCAAGAGCCTTTCAAGGTCACGCTGCAGGTGAGCGGTACCATCCTGAAATCCGGTTTTCGGCGGGGCGGTGCGGCACGGCGCGGCGCACCGGCCGAAAATATCGCGGAAGCGAATCGGCCGCCCGACGATCCGTGCGATCGACCGAGCGGAACTCCGCGTCGACACTCCGTCGTTTCCTTTTCCACCTCTTCTTCTTTTTCATTTTTTTCCGCGTGCATGTCGGGAAACGCGTGACAGCGAAAGCAGTTTTGCCGGCGCGCGCGCAAAAATAAACGAAATCACGAACTTATCCCGCGGCCGCGGGTGCGCTCGACGGGTTTGCCCGGCCGATCGCCGGCGGAACGAACGGGTTCCGACGCGGTTTGACGGCGCCCAGGCGCATTTTAGGAACGTGGGAATTTCGGTAAACGTGCAGCTCGGGCACGAGATGCATTAACCCCGATGGAACGCGCGTCCGCGATACATGCTGCGGAGGAGGAAGAAGTCAATCCGTATGGCACGGTTTAATAGAGTTCCCGTTAAAAGATCTAGTCGCCGGTGAAGTATCGGTGAAGTGCGCGGTTTTTTTTTTCATCCAACGTATCCCCTGTGCGACGCACATACAACGAAGTCGTTTCCGAAGGCAACTCTGATTATGTATTTGTAACGTTACGCATTCGCCGCTCGAGTAAATGTAATAATAAATTCACTGACCCGAATCTTACGCGGGAAACGAGTGCAGTGCTAATACGCCACTTTGATGGAGAAAAGAGAAATTAAACGCACGACGCCAAAACTGTTCTCGCGACCGTTAAACGTGGACACGTGGCATGCGCTTCCCGGCGCATATCAAGTGGCGTCTGAAAAAGGATACGCTCGCTCGTTTAGAAATCGCGTTCGTACCGCGCGCCGCCGGTGTACCGTGGTGCAATAAATCTCGCTTCGAGAGCCGCGGTTTTCGAATCTGGACAGCGCGAGACACATGATTTAGCGCCCGTATTAACGGTGCCAAATGAAGCAAACGGGTTCTTTGTAATGAATTTTTACCCTACGTCGCATTAGGGATCGCCAGATGCGCCAGTACGTGCTGTTAAAAGGAGATTACTGCGCGCGAACGGCTCGCCACGGAAACCTTGAGCAGTTGAGTAACCGATTAGGTCTTATCTCTAACTGCGGTTCGCGCGTTATCGCGCGAGTTTCATTGCAAATTATTGTTTGCCCTGCACGTAACTAGGAAGTAAATCAAGTCTAGTATAAATAAATATAATAATAAATTTATTGTATCGTACTTGTATAATGAGCAAGTTACAAGCGAACCAACATAAATAAGTAGCAAAAGAGACACGCGCAAATGGCAAGACGCCATCAATACTGTTGTTTTGAAACTTGTCGGTAAATAAATGCTTATCAGCAAATAGAAACTTATCAGTAGATAAGGCTGGTATTCATAGTCAGACCTTATATTCTAGACCGTCTTGCATTTATCTAAAGATGTATGGAACATTTCGTTGGCTACGAAGTATCTAAAGATGATCTGAACTCTGGGGGAAAAAGACAGTTAGCAAGTTTATTAGTTCTGTCGATATTCAGTAACGCAAAGATAATTTTCATTTAAGAGGCAATAACCGAAATGTTAAGTTGCTTAAGAGAATGGTACCGTCGAAATTAAAAATCATTCACTCGAATAAGTTATAGGTTAGGTAACCTATAACTTATTCGAGTGAATAGACTTCTTGTTAGGCTCCTAAACTTAATTTCAATGATACCATGCTGTTCTTTCACTTAATCTGAATGGTGGGACACTGTCGGTTCGTACACAAAAGCCACATAATTTGTATATTACACAAATGTTTTCATGAATTGACAGTTCTAGCAGCAAAAAGTGCAAAAAGTGCAGAATCATTCCAGCACCCCCTTAACTACAGAAAAAGGTCAAAATTTTTCCCAGAGTAGAGTTACGAACAATCCAAATAATTCCAAATAATTCGATTACTAATTGTGGGCCCCAACATGGGTTGCTGTCCTTTTTTCCCAGAGTGATATACGTATTTGTATTGTATATTCTGGCGATCTTCGTTTTCCTCTACTGGTTTCTCCAATTTGCCCGACGCACCTGTCGTTCGGTCGAATTCACGGCAAAGCACCGTGCGCGAGACTAAAGACGCATTACGAAACGAGACCCATCTAATCGTTGTGTAAGTATTTAATTGTCATCGTAGCGACGATGCGCGGGGAAAGTCTGCCCGTGGGTGGTGGATATCCATAACCGGTCTGGCGCGAGCGTTTCAGCAATCCGAATCGTCGCGATGATCGACAGCGCGGTAATTAAGTGTTTTCGCCAAGTGGAACACATTGTACGGGGAGAGAATTACGCGGCACACGCCTTCGCGCATATCTACTCTCACGTGACTCAGTTTAAGTACAAGGACGTTTGCGCGGGACGCGAGATGAAGAACAAGGCAATCGCGAGAGAAGGAGAAAGAGTTAAAATTGTACAGTGCGAGAAACCTCGATTATTATTATTAATTACCGACTTGTGGCGGACAACGTGCTGTCGTCGCGTTAAAAGGAAACCAAGTTTCATTCGGAGAGAAATGTATGCTTTTTTATTACTAGTCCGTATCTATTTCATTAATTGTGCATTTAAACGCCGCGACCGCCGTGTGGAACGAGGAGTATCCTCGCGAGGTACAAAGAAAGTCACGGTTTGCGCAAGGGACTCGCGCGCGAACGAACTTCGCAACCAGCGACGTGAACGGCGTGGATTTATATTTGATAGGTGAGCAACAAAGGTCTGAAGATTATACAAACTGTTCACCCTGGCGGCTCGACGAGGTCGGCGGTGAAGCACTTGGTACCAGGTCACGCGGTGCTGGCAGCCGTGCAGCGGGAGGACATCGTGGCCGCGACTCTGCTCCTACCAAATCCAGCGACGAACAATCCCGTGCACGTGCACGCATATAGGTAAATACCATGCCAATTTATTGTGCGAATTAACCAAATTTTATAAACGCAATGGCGACAATTAAATGTATATAAGTTAGAGTGACAATGAGAGACTAATTTTCAATGCTGACATTGAATATCAAAACTGAAAATAGGACAATTCTCATGCTAATTAGCTTCGTACTCTTCGATCAAACACATTCGAATTGTGGGCGATCGTGGCGCAGAGAAATGTGCGCTGCTTAGTAAATGAATGAACGAAGAGATCAGAGTTCAAATCGAACCACGGACACCGCTGGTTTTTTCGAACGCCACCTCTCGGAGGGAAGTGGCAACCACCGAGAGTATCCTGCCACACATACCCCTTTAGGTGTATAGCCCTCCAGGTTGGAGGTTTTCTACGACAAGGTTAGCAGCCTACCGAAGATGAAGTAAAACCAAATGCTCAAAGTACCAGTTCGTTCTGGTACAGAACGAGCTGGATAAAACAGGCTTTAAACCTAATACACGAGGAAGAAGAAGACATTCGAATTGCTCATTTATTACGCGGACGAGATAACGCAGACCTTTGTAAGAGTGTACAGACCTTTATTAAGAATGCAGGCGCGCAATATGGGAACCTAAGATGCAGCCGCACTGTTTATCCATCAAGTCCGTGTCAGGAATTCGCGGTTAAACAGAGGCCATTCGGTTCATCGCCTCGATCTCACCTCATTACGAGCCACGTTTCGTTCCTTAATTAACGACTCTCGTAATTCTAACGGATCGCTAATGATTTTCATAATCCCGCGTGGCGTTCGCACGTAGCTCAGCCGCGTTATACCGTCGCAGCGAAGCCGCGAACGGATAGGAGTATTCGGAGCAACCTTGTCATTAAATTGCAAATTATCAGGGCTATTAGTTCAACGATCTGCTTCACAGCGGCGGGCGATAATTAGCGCGCGTTCCAAGTAATTATTCGGAGGCTCGGTGGTGCCGGCCGAATTTTGCCTTACGCGCGAGGCTACGGGGACAGGAACGGTGTTATAAATGTCGCTCCATGAGAATCGACACCGACGGCGATTGTTCGATCCAAGTTAACCGCGAAGGCGCGCGATCTCTTTGGTATGCTCAATGAAAGTCCCGTTAAAGAACATTTTGCTGTATAGAGAAGCTCGGACAAGAGATATTACGACTATACATATCCCGCGATGTACCCATTGTATACCTCATACACCGACGACCTAAATGGGAAGAAGTGGCCGATCCTTTTCTCGCTGGGAACGGCGATTGTACTTATCGCGAGCTTACATCTACGTGTAATAAAATACGCATTTTTCACGTATTTTACATAAACAGCGAGCGACTTAATCTCACACTTGTCGTACATGTAAGTCTTGTAACCGTATCCTTATCTACCCAGGTTCACGAGTCGATGATGCAATCGATAGCGGTCGTGATTTTTCGGGGCCGTTTGATTTGACGACGACTAGATCTTCATTGATCTTTGCAAGAAGATCGATAGAGATCTCCATAATCGTCGACATCTTGTCGACGTATATTTAACATCTACAGACGTATACATATCAATTTGATGTATAGAAGACATCGTATCAGTGTCGAGCAATTATTGATGATTTAGTTGATTTATAGTAGATACCATATTCAAGTCGAGTCGATAAACGGAGATGTTGATTCGACTTGAATAGGATGTCAGTTGAAATATGACTAGATCGTGGATATCCACAGAATATTGTCCAGATATCGTAATGACATCTTCTAAATATCAACTTGATTATTGACTTGCACACGATCTTAACTTGTTTCTAATTTAACTGATTTCAATACGATATTCACCAGAGCCTTCATCGACTTGTGAACCCGGGTACTTTTTACCTTGCCTTGCTCTACCCGATCGCTTTGAGACACTCGGTATATTTGCGTGCATTGACGTCATATGCGGGAAGACGGGCAAATTATAACTCTGGAGTATCGCTATAGAGCCAACGGGATGAGATTACATCTGTCTCTCCGTTTTACTCCTTTGTCGTTTTGATGAAGGTAGAACCTGGTCTTATCTCTCGCCTCGCTTTCCGCCATTCTAGATGCGACTCGGTCGAGACCGCCGAATTGTTAGGTGGCCAGCTGAAAGCGCTGGCGTCACACACCGACAATTTGGCCAGGGTCACGGCGAGCGAGGGCAGAATCCGCAGCAATCTAGGCAGCGATGGCCGAAGTACCAGGGAGTCCGAGTCTTCCGAAGGTAGCGGTGAGCTCAGACACGATCCGGTCCAAGCCACGACCATTTACGAATCTTTGGCCGCCGAGTTGCGGGCAAAATTAGGTAAATATCTTTTCTGAACGTTGCTTGACTCTTGTTCGCTTATATACATCTTCGAAATACGTTTTCTCCAAGAATACTAATGGGTCTCCAGCGTAGACAGCCATATTTTATAAATAAATAAAACAGGAATAGGAGAGAAGTAGAAATGTAATAGCGAATTCGGTTGCTTGCACTAGTGTGCACTGAGTGCACACTAAGGCTTGTTTACGGTCAATTCTCATATTGAAGGATCGTCTTAAATATCTCTTGAAATATTTCTTGGCCAGTAAAATGATCTGCACAGAATCCATACGGATTATTTCTTGGCTAAAAACTCTTGGAACATGTATTTAAGACAAGTTTTTAAATATAAAAATTGAATGTAAACGGACCTCAGTGCACACTCAGTGCGCACTAGTGCAAGAATCGAGTTCGCCGTAAGATACCAATATAAATTACACTAGCTTTTTCTGGAATTTTTTACCCGAGAGGATTTCTTTCGCTTCACCCATTACCATTCATCTGAAACGCTGCTCTCTCGCAATCAGTAATGTTGGCGAGAGGACGAGCGATGAACGTCCACGCGCGCGCGTCATACGTGTCAAGGTAACGTGGGTGCGAGACTGACAATCGTGTTTCAGGCAGAGGCAATTCCGGTGACAATGACGTCGGTCCGATATTACTGCCGCCGCGCGACTACGACACCGTGCACAGGCACCGCGGCAACTTGGCCGGCATCGAGTTCAGGCGTTGCCTGAACCAGTCCATCGTGGGTGGTAGCACGGCCATCGACAGGGGTGGCACGAGAAGCGCGGCCAGCAGCGGCATAGGATCCGACAGCGCGGCGACGCCACCGCCTTATCAGACGCACCATCCCCTCGGCCAGAGGCCGTCCCGGCCGTCCCGGGATTCCTCCTCCGGTGAGTGACTTTCGTCGTAATGAAGATCGGGTGGGGGATAAGCTAGACGAGCGTTCTCTCTCGGACTCTTGAAATATTGTTTTCGAAATCCCCTTGCCGGGAATACTTTCAATTTCAGAATCCTTAAATAATTAAATCGGCTGGAACAGAAGGAGGCATGTGACAAAATCGTGTATTTGAGAAAAACTGTTTTGTAAGCGTAATATGAATTTTTCAGGTAGGCTTTAGTAGCATAAAGCTACTTTGCCCTGAAGAGGGGATCTCTTAAAATTAAAGGTTTAGCATAGGGCCAACATTTCGACTCGGGAAAATACGTTTCAAATGACATATTCCTCTTCCCGATTGTTCAGTATTCTCTTCAAGTTTTTCATGACGAATAAATAATTCCCGTAGAATCTCGATGTCGTGAATTTAAAATTCCGAAGGCCTTAAATTTTACACATTCCAAGATTGCCCGGCAATTACAGGCGTCGATTAGCGCAACCTGCCAGAACTGTCCGACAAATTGGAGCTTGTACCGCTATTAAGAAGCACACGTATATGAAATTAGGCGTTAGCAAGTAGGTCGGCGCAACGCGACGAGCCTGAGAGGCATTTTCGCGGCTCGGCCGTTGCGTCAAGTTACGATGCAACATCCCATTTCAGGCAAGAAAGCCTGCGCCCGAGGAGCGTGCGTAAAATTGGCTGCGAGCGTGACAATTGCGTCTAGCGAGTGTGAAACCTGCCGTGAATATTACGCTCGGCGGCTCATAGAAATTCCGCGTCATTGGCCAATACCTCTGAGAGTATCGTGTTGCGTGGGTACGGCCGCGAAAATAGGTTTTCAGGACGTAAACGCCACGGGTTTACCTCGGAGCTGCTATTTCGACGCAATTACCTTCTTATTTGGCATACTTAATGGGAAATTTATACCATGTCGTCCGCGGCAATTAAATTTATTGCAGGCTTGTACACGCGCGATAGCTCGAATAATATCTCGAAAGTTGTTCGAACTCGTTCGACTTACCCTAAGACCGATCTGCGAGTCGCGTCGTAAAACCGTCGAAAGCCGACGGACACAGAGAGATCGAAACGCGGGAGAAGAAGACTGGAGTTATATAAACGCCGCAACGTCGGACGGAACGGCGGGCAGATAAAAAGAGCTGCGTCGTTACGTAATTTGCGGCTAATTGCAAAATGGAAAGTTTTTAGAATATAATCTCGCGGTGCTGTCGGCTGGACGCATCATTACGCCGGTTAAACGATAACGCAAGCCGATGCTGGACGCCGGTACGAAAGTGAAAGTCCTCGCTTCTTCTTTTCGCGAGATCCGTCTCAGGAAATGATCGCGCGCACCCAATAATCATTCCTCTCGCAGCGAGGAGAATCGGCGAAATCGTCTTTATGCGCGGCAATAAACGTGGCGAACGAAATGATCGCTCTTGAAAAACTTACTGTCGAAAATTGATAAAATAACGGCGATGTTTGCCACCGTCTTTTAAGTATCTTTCTTGCCACAGTCTCTCGGAGAAATAAAAATATCGAGCATCTCTCTCTCTCTCTTTCGCGCGCGCGCGCGCAATCTACGTGTTCCTGCGCATGAAAGCGGAAATAATTCCACGCGGCCAAAGATTCCATAACCGACCCGGCCGGCGACGACAAAAATTTGGGCGCTTTCTACTCGCGGGACAGATTCGATGCCCATGCGTGCGCCGGCTCGAATCTTATCGGCTCTCGTAGAAAACTGGGCAGTGGCGAACCGTGCGGCCTCCTAACCCAGTTTGCCGGTAGCTACGAAAAATCGTTGTCGTCCTCGAGCACGTCCGTGCTTTTTCCTCTCCTTCCTTCCTGTTCCGCCATCGAGACATTCGTATTGAATGCGTAATTGAGCTCGGCCTGGTTCGCCGTAGTGCACGCGGTCTTCTTTAACGACAAGATCGTCAACTTTCGCCGCGGCCCAATCCGAAAACCTCACGCTCGCGGGACACTTCTACGAAAACGCGCGAGATCGCACCCTCGTTGTAAAACGGGTCGATGTGGGTACGACGGCAATTAATTCGTCGAGTTCGGGCGAGCCGACCGTAACGCGAAAGAGTCACGTTTCGCAAACTGGTCGTTTAAAGCTTTTCTGCGCGCGACCGAAATTTCCTGCGGTCGAGTCCGTCAAAGTGGACGGCGGCGCACCGCAGACAGCAGACCGTGACTACCGACGTCCAATGAGGAAAGAGGCGTTCGAAGACCTCACGATCCGATTAAGAGAAATTTATTACATTTGCAATATACCCTTCGGCACGGAGGGACGGGGGGAAGAGCATCTTGAGAATGGGGACGCGTGGCGATAGAGGAAAGAGTGTACGCTGGGCGCTTAGCGTACAAATTCCTCGTTATCGGCGCTCTCGCGGGCCAGAGATCCGCGTGTACGCGAGGGTCCATTCTACTGGCCTTATCTTTTTGCACAAAGCAGCGCGTGGTCCGGTATCGCAGCGGTGCGCATTGAAATGCACGCGATGCGCGAATGTATCAAAGCATCGCCGCGCTCGGTCCTCACGGGGCGTGCCTATATCTCGCGAGAAACGTGTTTTTAACGGACGACTGACCCATATTCAGCGTCGATGAATAAATTTCGTGATGAGGAGGACGGAGGGGAAGAGAGAAAAAAAAGAGACGAATCCGATTCCCCCCCGTGCCGCACCGTGTACCGGTAGACACGCTCGGCTCCGGCGCGGCGTCAAGCTCGTACGCGAGAGAGAAAGAGAGAGATTGTATTGAGCACCTGTTACAGTGGAAGGAATTACCGTTAGGACGTCGTCGTGTCAGCGGCAGGTACCGCGGCGGCACGACGGGCGTACGTATCTCGGCTGGCTCCGGGGCTGATGTACGGCCGCAAAAACCAAGCCGATCGGCGATATTGGCGGATGCCCAGACTTTGCGCGGATGCCGGGCGAGTCCGCGGCGTCTTCAATGGACGCGCAAATAGAAGAGTCCAATTGTCCCACGCAATTATGTGCCGTTAGCGACGTTGATTCCCCGCGTTATGAGAAGTAATTAGCGAGCGGCGCCAGAACAACGGCTTGAAATCGCGCGCGCCGCAGGCGCGCGATGATGGCTCGGATTATTAAATGCCGTGTGAGTTTTGTGTTTCTCTCGTTGAGTTTTCGATCTCCGTTGAATCGCATTAAGTGAAAATTCAATTCAATTAGAAATTGCCGCGCGAATTCCGGCAAGGTCTCGCGGCAAGTGTCCCTTTCAGAGCGGTCTGGCATGCACTAGGGCGGGTCAGTCGCCGTGATAGCACGAAGTGCAAAGTGGAAGGGAGATTTTGTTTGCGTTATTCAACGAGACGCGCCGGTGAGTAGTGGTGAGCCTCCCCATGGGGGGCAACGCCGAGCACGTCCGAGTCGAGCGTCCAATTTCAAAGCTATCGCACGTGCGCGCCAAAGAATATATACCGACCGCCCGCTTGCGAAGATTCATCCGTCATTTAATAAATAAGATCTCCCTGTGCTCCTTAATCCGTTCTCCGCGCCGTCACGGCGACGCCAGTATGAAAAAAAATACTGTACGCATTGAAAAGAAATCTGCTGTACAAATTTTAACACACCCAATCAAAAAAAATAATTGTGCAACGTAAATGACATTGATTTCCGCAAAAAGAACGTTTAGGTGAATATCAAGTATCGTTTAACATTTTATAATTTAGTGTTTTAAAAAAATGTTAAAAGTGAAGAAAATTACACCAAATAAAACAAGGAAATATAAACGTTTTTAAATTAAATATTTTCAAGCCTACAAAAGTCACGGAAGATATTTGAACGCAGTTGAAGAGATAATAAGAAGATTTAGAACGTGATTATGAAAATGAACTATTTAATGCCGCGGTGGTCGAATTGGTTGAGACGCTCGTCTAGTAAGAGAGAAGTCCAGGTTCAAACCCTGGCTGAGGTAATATAATATTTTTCGCAATAAATTTAAAAATATGAAATATTTAGACACCAACACCCTGTCACGGCTCTTAGTCCTTTATTTCTTTAAATTTGTGTCATACGAATTTTAAACTATTTAAATCTTCAAACCCTATTTTCTCATTTCACATAACGTTTTAACAAATTTAAAATTTAGTTATACACAATTGTGATACATGATACAATGATTACAATGCACGAACGAGAGGTATATCTCTCAGTGGAATGAAAGACTTAATCGGAAAGAATGAATTCGCTACCGCGCCATCAAAAGAATAGACGTGCCCAAATTTCAGGAACTTTGCGAATTTTACATCTCACGAGTTTATCTCGCGACGCTAATATTCGACTGTCGCAGAAGCAATGTGAGTCTGCGCGATTTTCGCAAATTAACGGTTTGTTTATTTAATGCTGAATAAATTAATTCCAGAATATATGTACGTAATTCCGAGATGGGACAATCGAGAGACGCGACACGCGGACGGACCCCTCGTTCCGTCACGTTTACGTTTCGCATGATTAGAGAGGACGCGACAGATGCTGGACCGCGATGATCAACACCTGATCGCGATTTTTTTCCGCTGTCGTGTGAACGGCGCCTCGTTCGCTCCTACCAGAAATCCTTGCGGTTTAAAGCGACATGACATACTTAACTGCCTTCGCATGTCTTATAGTCACGATTCGCCTCTGCATCGCCTTACGTGACGTAGCTGCATTTCGCGCGAAACTATTCTAACGCTGCTTAGATCCCAGCCGGAGATTGGACGTCAGCTTTATCGCTTCGCGGCGATGCTAATCAATTACGCTCTCGTCGACGTCTTATTGTGCACGAATTTTTAGTATCTCGTTACATACCGTTACGTATGCATACCGTTTCGAAAGTCGCCGATATCGCGATAAGTAAAAAATTCCACCGCTGATCAAGCGCTTCGCACACTAATTCGTTCGCGCGATGATAAATAATACACGTGACTATAAACCGTAGTCTCTAACTGCGCATTATCGTGGAAGGCCCAGGTAGCAAGCTGACGCTTCTCATCATTTCGACGGTGTCGTCAAAGGAGTCATTTTAACGTAAAAAGAAATGAAACGAGTAACATCAACTTGCTGCCTGGGACCGAGAGCGCGCGTTTGTAAAATTCACAGAGGGGCCACTCGCAATGGATTTCACCCTCTGATTCTCTTACCTAATACAATAACGGCATTCCGCCTCTGTCTTTTACTGCGTATCGTTGCGCAAAGGAGTCCTTCTCCGAAGAGGCGCGTTTCCACGCGCGGCCGAGAGAAGGCGGGGGTCGAGAGCGCCGCTCCGTGTCGCCGTTGTTTACGGCAACGGGTAATGACAGTTATGCTGATGATGATGATGATGAGAGACGTTGTCTCGACGACGACGACGAGGACGACGACGACCAAGACCAACAGCGCATAAATTCGTGCGTGAGTCGACCTCGTGGGAGGCCGTTGTACGTACGGAATAAAGTTCCGCATTCTCGGCCCACAGCCCGAGGCACCTCTCAGCCTCTTCGTGTCTCTTTGAGCCTCATCAGTGTTGCCTCCTTCCCCTTTGCGTCTCCTTAGCCCGCTACCACTCTTTAAATCTTCCTTGACCTCGCCGTAAGATGCCAGACTCCGCCGGCCGATTTTTCACGGGCCGAAATTGGAAGGACGAGTCGGTGGACGCTACCATTTCAGATTTTACATCGCCGTTTGTTGTCCTATAGAAAAGAAGGAGAAGAAACGGAAGACTGTACAGATATTAGACGAAGTGATCCATTTTTATAATTAAGCTTCTTGTAATTAGCAAGAATGTGAAAAAAAAAAAGAAATGTTCAATGTAAATGGAGCGAAATTGTAAGCGGCAATTATAATTTATATGTTAATCGTTTGTAGACGACGACTGGGGTGTATCAAACGAGGATAATGACTATCTGCCAGAAGTGGAGACAGCTGCGAGTCTGACATTGCCGCGACTGCCGCGAAGCCCCGAGAGGCTACCCAATCAAGCGAACAGGGGAGTCTCGCCGAGCTGTAACAGGAATCGGCGAGCGGCGGAATTTAGACAGCGATCGCCGAGTCCTCAATATCAGCCCAGGGTCAATCCCGGTGAGGTGACCAGTCCCAGAGAGAGGTTCCAAGATGCCAAGAAAATGTTCAGGGCGATGGAGAGGGAGGCCGTCGCCAGGCAGAGAGACGTCGAGCATCATCCTGTACACAGGTGTGCTTCTAAACGACATGACGTTCCTACACTGAAAAAAATTTCTGGTTGAATATGGACGAATCAGATAATTCCTTTAGGATTTACCAGAATTCCTTTAGGATTTACCAGAATTCCTTTAGGATTTACCAGAATTCCTGTAATCCTACAGAAATTCTGGTAAATCCTAAAGGAATTCTGGTAAATCCTAAAGGAATTATCTGATTCGTCCATATTCAACCAGAAATTTTTTTCAGTGTACGAATGAAGCGGACAATAAAATTCATATAAATTGATAAAAAGTATCGGGGGACGGCCTACCTTTTACCAGAGGAGAAATTCATTTCGCATAATCGGTATTTAATATGAATGAATATTCTAGCTTGCGATACGCGCAAATCGATCGCGAGTAAAAGTCGGAATGCAAATGCGCGTCGTCGAGAGTATCGGTCCGGAGATCTGTACGGCGACGTCAACCGCTGTCGCGCTTTTCGTTTTGCACATATACGGTCCTGTTCAGCTTTCCACGCTCGAACGGGTTTCGAGTAACAAACATTTTCACCGATCAAACGCGTTCCCGCAAGAGAGATTTATGAAGATACAGATACGACTCGGGAATGTTTGTAGAAATTGTAGATAATGTATCGGTATCCTGTATGTCCACTGTTAAATTTTTCATAGCAAACGTCTTTTTAATTTTTTTTTTGTAAAAATAAAAACTTTCGAAACGTAATTGCCGACTTTATTATAAATGAGTGTATCCCGACGTGGAATCTCACGTTTGGATCTTTTGTATTATAACATTATAGTTATTTGTTATTGATTGATCAAATTATAAGGATCGGTTGTTTAACAGAGTCCAATCGGCCAGACAAGTTCACGAGGACCGATCCGGCCGCCAATATCCGGCGAGCATGAACTCCATGTCATCGCACGAGCACGCAATCAGACGAAGTCAGCCGGACGTGCTTGATCGTGAAAACGTCGTGTCTTACAAAGGCAGACCACGGCCCAGGACTCATCATTATGCGATTGAACGTTTACCCGAGCCGGAAACTTCGAGGCCGCGGCCAAGGAGCTTCTACGAGAATCCGTCGGTCGGCAGAGACTTCAGAGACCAGAGGAATCTCGTAGATCAGAGAGACGTAAGAATCGTTTGCGCGACATAAAATTGCGTTTAGCGCTAGGTCCAAACACAATTCTAAAATTACGTTCTAAAACTACGTTTGTATCGCTAAATAGATGCGAGAATTTCGAGAACGTACGCAGCATTCGCGAGAGCTGCGCGACAAGTTGCGGGCGAGGAGCTCGACCTACCAGGAGCTGTCAGAGCATGAGAGATATCCTGGACTCGATCGTGAAAGTGCCAGACCGCCGTTGGAGATGATCCCGACATCCGGTAGATACCGTCATAGCTACGCCGAGCCGCCGAGATTGGGCCTAGCTGCGCTTCATCCCTATTGATGTGCCCGTTTCTAATTGGTGGATTATTTAATGAATTAACCGACATATCGCGCTATCGTTATTATTCACTATGCACTATGCCTTGACCGTTCAGTGTGTTCATGGCTAATGGCCTTTATCCCGCCTCTGCAATAAAATGAGGAAGGAGAAGGGCGTTCGAGGACTGCGATATGGATATTTTTATTTTTTCGACTCTGGGACGGCTAACAGGTAACAGTTTTCGATTAACATTAATCATTCAACATCATTCTTTACGTCAGCGATTCTATGTATCAATCGCTTAAATTATATAATACACCCAAAAATGGCTCATTTAACGTAATTTAACTGGAGATACAAATTGTCCAGTTGAATAGTCACTGTGAAAAGTGAAAGAATTTTGATAGCGCTTTAAAAGAACCGCAGATGTGTGACTTTGACGATTTGCTCACGTATCGTGCCACTGAACAGTCAATGCCGATTGGAGATTGTATATGTATGTAACGAGAGTAAAAGAAGCTTGTATGTATATGTATTTCACTTTCGATGAATCCAGCTGACTTTGCGTATCGTTGTTATCGCGTACGAACGCAGGATTTCGTTGGTAGGATGGTTCTGATTGAGAGAACGAATTCTAGCACGATCCCGTGTACGTACCATATTGTTATGCGTCAGATGCCACACTAACAATACAATAATAATAGTAACACAATAATACCGATAATAACAGTACCAATAATAATTATAACAACAATCTCTCGTATTATTTATTTCTTCCTTCGATCTACCGAAGTCGCCGAACGTGATCGAAAATGAATGAAATAAATCTGAACACAAACTTATTTAAAAGAGATATAAATTTATGTAATTTTATTCATATAATCAAAATGTGCAAAATGCATTTATCAAAAATTGATTATTACATAAAAGTTTCTCTTCTTTACTAAGGGAAAGTGGCTACTAAATCAATGCCTTTGCCGTAAAGACGTCCGTCCGGAAGCCACTGCTGAAGGACATAGCTTCTTATTAAATTAAATGTTTATTAGGAATTATAGAAAATATAATATTTCGTCTTATGTATTGGGAAAGTAATTGAATGTTTCTCTCGTTAAACGTATTACGTAACGTGGTTTCTATCCCTGGTTGAGATAACAACCCAATTTATATTTTGCACGATGGGAATTCTAGAAGATAGCGCGTATATAACACACCATGAATCTTCATTCAATTCGTTCCGCGATCATATCCCCGTAGTAACATCAGCGGTTACGTAAAAGAGACATTCAGTTGTAATAAAATGAACTCGGGGAATTCTGCAGCGACAGTTACATATACGTGGATGTAGAGGTGAAAATCAGGCACAAGCATGGCGCAAGCAATGATCTCTCCGATTTCCAGGAAGACGTTGCCCCTGGGCCGTGTTACATTTCATCGAATCCTATGCTCCGAATCCGGGCGTTCCACATTTACGTCAGCGATATGTAAAACGTACGCGAAAAAAAAAGGAAAAACTCCAAGATTTTATAGCTTAGGAATTCGCAGAATGCCAATCTTGTTTCAAACGCAGTTTAAACGTTCAAACGTGTCAAATGTTTAAACGCTATCTGTCCGATAAAACAATTCAGACATATCGAGCCTTAACATTTACGGCGGAGATAAATTGGCAGCTTAGTGCCGAAAGCTTATCGTGATAAAAAAGACAATCGATACACCTTACTCGATCGAATTTATTGTGCCAATCATTTAAAGTAGCAAGTTAACTTCGCGGTCGACACGAAGCAGACATAGCAGAGGTAACGTGCAATGTTTCGAGATTTTTGAAAACTTTTTTGCAAATAACAAAGAGAAAGTCTCTTCTGCCAGAGGATGAGTGATACTTTTCTTTCCGATAGAGTGCGATATACCCATATTGTACATATATAAAAAATGCTAGCAACAAAGTAGCAGCTGGAGATATTCGCGTATCAACTTTCGCATTAAGAGGAGAAACTGCTCAAACGCAATACGAAACGGTCTCGCACGGAAATTGATACATATCGCGGTTTACGGAGGAAAGTACAACAAGCGGCTAAGCGTATTATAATTTCGAGAAAGTCTTTTCGCCCAAGACATAGCAACATTGAGCATATTTCAATATTCGCGATTTATTCATATCTTTCGTTTTCACTCGCGTCCCCGCATTTCATTCGTTGCCGTTCAGCCCGCGTGCTTGGAGGACTCTCCGCTCCGCTCGGCAAAAATGCTCGGCGCGAAGTTGCGTAAACCATAATCTCTGAACCCACGGCTGTAATTTCGCAAAGGTAATGCCGAGATTACAAGACGCATGGAATTGTCGCTGTCTCTGTTTTTCCCGCTGATGAGGCCCGCGATCGCGCGGAACATTATTGCTCCATCCTCTCGAGCGGAGCGTTATACCGGGTGACCGTTATTAAGAACGGTACCGAGCGAGTGGTCGTGTCGTTCTCCTACAATGTAATTCGCACGCCGCCTAATGTAATTCAGAAATTCGATTACCGTTGCGTTGCCGCGCTTCCCGCGTTTGAATTCTCGGAGACACGGCGCCGCTTTCGCATCTTTTGAATACAAAAGTGAGAGGCAAATCTCCTGTTAGGCGCTGAACCAGTTGGACGCGCATGCAAATTGATCATTTGTCCTGTTACCTTTTTCGAGCGATTTTACGCGACGAGCGCCTCGCCTCTCCACCGCGAGATACCCGAGTCGCGAATGTACAATTCGCACGGTGCGTGCCAGTATGTGCGTGTGAAATGCAGCACGGATAAACAGGCTCCCCTTCTTCTGTAAAGGGATTCAGCGCCTCGAACCTGCTCGCTTCTCTCGATGGCAGTGACCTGTTATAGGGGTCTCACGGGCCCCAGGGCTTTTATGCTCGCGCGCACGCGATAGTTCCTGGTTAAATGCCAGGCGCTACACTGCGCGTTCTAAACCTAATATATCATGATCTTGTCTTGTCCTTTATTCGCATACATACCGCGAAAAAGTTACAAAATGTCCCGAGGCTTTTATTGTACGCAACGTAATTACCACGAGCATTATACGATGAATGCATTATCGATTGCTAAATGTAGAATCTTTTTTTTTGAGAGCCATTTTCTGAACATAAATCTACTCAATGAAAAGGGAAATATAAATTCATAAATAACAGTTGAATGTAACTTCATTTCTGAATAACTTTGCTGTACGTGCGTACAACGACTTGGCATTCGCGTCGACATCATCATTATGATAAATTAGTATGAGCTATGTTGACCTCGCGTCTATCCAAAGACGGGGAGTACGTGACGGAAAAGCGGACGCTACGTGTCGGAAGTGCTGTTGCTTCCGATGCGTTTGCGAGAAGGGATTTTTAAACTTTTCTCGCGTGACTGTATACATATGTGCGTTTGGCTATCATAACATTTATATCATTTTATTATGTTATATAACACTATTGATTCAAATTTACGGGTATCGACGAACATTACTTCTCTAAATAATTTTGATGATTATTATTATTCGTCTAATAACATATCTGAAATGTCCTAAAAATAGTAAAAATTTTACAATAGCTTACGATAATAATTTTACAGTAATTTATTTTCAAAAATTTTACAATAATTTGCATTTACACGATTTACAAATATATTGCATAAATCAAATAGACTTAAATTTGTATTAAACTTATGAGACACGGAATATTTGCAACGTTCAATTCAATTGCCACTTTAATCAGTAAAAGTGAACCGTCATGATTATCGTGGCAGCGATGCTCGAGCGGCGAATATCTCCAGCGTTTATGTCTCCCGTTATTCTACACAACCCGGCGACTTCGATGCCCGGTCACGCTATCGTCAAGTGGACAGCACGATCGCAATTGAGCGCACGAGATTGATAGACATAAGAATACTTGAAACACAACCGTTCATGGATGGAAAAGAAAGAACGGATCGTGGTCTATTATCATAGCGTTCCCCGCAATTGGCAACTAATCTTCTATGAAAGACAATACGATGTAGTTTCTCAATATGGGTTAGTTAGGTTTATAACATATATATAATATCTGACATATACATATCTATAAAGTATTATTCATTTTCTAAGGAAAGGATTGCGATTGATATCCTTCCTGTTCTTCTTTTCCTTCAAATAATATTAATTATAAATAGAGGTGTGACATTAGTAAAGAGTTGTTTTTACCTATTTGACATGTTCGCGAGAGATTGCTAGCCTTTACTGGGATACTTTGTACAATATGTTATTTATTAATACATATATAATAATATATTATAATATATGTATATACAAGTATACATATATAAATTTTTCCAAAATTTAAAAGATTTTTGTAGCAAATTGTATAATTGTTAATTACTAGCATTGAGATACTCTTTGAACTGTGACTTGCCGTTCACAACGCAGAAACGTCTTTTTCTTAACGTTTCACCAAACTTTCTCGTGGTCTAATCGCGCGCCAACGCCATCATTTACGCATCGTGGCAGTTTCAGGCACGCGGAAAACAATTACCCGTCGCATGTGAAAGAAAGTACCGCGCCTCGATAAAAATGGCAGAGCGACGACGGCGGCGCGCGGATATTCGTGCCGGGTCGACAAACTTGCGCATTTCACAGATTTTTACAAGTACGCGCAACAAGACCTCGACCATCGCCTCTATTTGCATGGAACTTTCGAATTGTCTACTTGACCGTCTGTTAGAAAGCCATTATAATCACTGATACAGAGGTATGCTTTCTCGTTATCAGATACAGAGTTATTTTAATTTTGAAGCATTCAAGAATGTTGTTACCTGCAACCTGGGGCTTATCTGTCTCAAGAATTTCTTTTAAGTTTCACGTATCATCGAACCTTTTCAACCCAGAAAACGTTACATATATTCCTTTGTATTACAGATATTGTGTTGTAGAAAATAACGGGAGCATGATGTGTCCGCCACATCTATTCAAATAACTAAATTTTTTTATTAAAAACGATCGTACAACCGTTGAAGCTAAATTTTCGAAAAATTGAAGAAAATCTTTATTTAAAAATGGAAAGTCTTTTTGCTTATAAAAGTCAAAGCGCGTTGACACTTGCAACACGCTACTGGATGGTTTTTGAATTTTATTAAATTTTATGTAGACATTTTTAATAATTAATTGCGGGTGAATTTTGTAATAACATTTCACCAGGAAGACAATAGATCGTTAGAATTATTCTGTTTTCATTTAAAATTATTAATCTGTATTATATTGTATACTAGATAGTAATATAATTGCAGAGAAAAAGGGTAGCAGCATCGATAACTGAACCAGTCACGAGTAAACGAAGAGGGGATTGGAGAGGATTCCTGGACAAGAGGTGATTGCACTGTACACGCGGCTTTTGGAGTCTTTGTAATTAATGTGACGACGACCCACTAACCCACTGGACGATCGATTTTTTTCGTTCAACAGTTCGAAACAAACGCTTTTTTAATATATCCGAGTTACTTGAGATTTTAGCGTCTATGAAATTGAAAAGTTTTTCGGCTCGCTAAGAATAGCTTTTAATGTATTATTATAAAAGAAAAACATCGCAATTTCAGCGACTCATGGGTCGCAGATTCTGAATTATGTTCACCAGTTGTCCTTCGAAATACAAGGCACATCGAAGGTCGACATTTACGAGTCTCGAGATAAATATTTGGGAGATTCTGTAGTAAAGAAATAGCTAATTTGCATATTTATCAGCCCCACTTCGGATTATCTCGAATATCTACCTATTTTCCAAGAAACACGGCGGATATTTAACGAACCCTCTCTGGTCTTCGTAATAAACTGCATCTCCGTCTAAGATATCGTTGCGATTATTGCAAAAATATGCACATCCATGCCGTGAAAAGTCGTGAAAAAAATAAAACGTGAATAGGCTTCTAAATAAATTATAAAACATACATTCGCGCTCTTCAAATCTCTCGAAAGTACAAAGAAATCTTCGACATGTGCTAAACGCCATACATTACAAGTTACAACATTGAATCATAACATTTTTCTTTGAATTAATTCAAGTTTTCGTGCAGCGAGATCTTCTGACCTCTCAAGAGTAAATTTCAAGGAACGCAAAGCGGGAGATCTTAATTGGATCTCAAGTTCGCATCCTTATCGTTATAAAATTGTGATACAGTTACACGCAACAGTACTCAGGTTAATTCGTACGTTTCATGTCGAACGGAAATGACTCCGCCGTATTCGTCTTGCTTCTAAATGTGTCAGCTGTGCGAAAGAATTCGAGGAGAATTCCCACTGAAAAAAAATGTCGACATTGGGCCACGGTCAGGGTCCCGGTCACGCGACCCTGATTCCGCGTCCCCGCGATTTCACGCTCGCGACACGAACCCGCTGCCGGATTTTCTCGTCTTCCTGTCGCGGTTAATTGCGTGGAAAATGCATCGACGGCATTTCATTTCTGTGCGGCGAAACCGAATGAGATATGCGGAAAATATGCCGTTCACATTCGAAACTTTCGAAGCCGAAATGCAAAAGCCCGATGGAAGGAGAATGATGTGTAGCGAGTAAAGCGATTAGAGAGAAATTTAATTCTTCCGTAACCCAAGATACACCGTTATGTAATACTTAACCGTAGAAATGTTTCACTGTAATTATTTTGCATGAACATAATTTTAATCCCCGCGCGTATTTAATTACAAAAGTCTTTTGTATATTAAACTGGATAGATGTAGAGAGATAATTGCAAGTTTCTTGACGGCTAAAACACAAGCTGCAAAATAGAATTCATTTAACACGCGAACTATCAAAGGAGGTTTAGAATCACCAAATGATTTGTTTCACATATGTTTTATAATTATTACTCATTTTTAAGGCATTTTAATTTCTGAAACTTTCCCTGACTCGTATTGAAATAAAACAGACGAATAATTTCAAAAATTTATTACCTCCCGTTTTCTTAGATTTCTACGTAGGTGTTAATCTGCGATAGTTCCGGTGTTAAAAAAACCTTGCACCTGCTATTCCTTTAGTACAGCAGATGTCTCAGTTTGCTTTGTTACGCAACAAATTTGTGATTTCACCTTCGTGACCACGTTCTGCTTCGTCGATATGAGGAACGACCTAGAGACCATGAGTCCCTACCCCTAGTCAAAAGACAATTGTTCACTTCCCAGGCTCCGGCGGTTTCTGTGTGAAAAACGTGCACCGGGGGGCTTTCCTTCGCGGTACCTACGCAATCTTTGACCTATAAAGGGCAACCTGCACATAGCGCGCTGCTTGGTGTACGACTTGGTGGACGATAAATAACGAAGATATGTGTGCCGTGAATAGTTATGTTACTCCCAGTTGAAAACACAATATTTGAAATACAAAACTGCTCGGCAAATTCGTATTATAAGCTGTATTTCCGCGTGAGCGTCCGTAGCTAATAAATTTGCATCGTCCGACGAGATAACATTGACGGCGCTGAAGAGTCAGCTCTCTCTCGCTCGCGACATCCTGGTGCGTACGAGATTCCTGCGTGCTGAAATGTCACATCTCGAGTCGAGGTACTAACTAGTATTAATAGCAAAACAGCGTGTTGCGTCACTCGCAGGAAAGGGGAAGCGGCATTAACGTCTCCGCATAAAATCGAGCCGTAGGAATGTCCATTTCCCTCGGCATAATTCCCGCCGTCCGGCGGCGCGGTTCGCCACCGAGGACCGCGAGGAGAGACAGCTAGAGGCGACAGGATCGGAGTCCAGGGAGTGACCGGACGATAAAAAGCGCAAAGGAGAAGAGTGGGAGAGCGTCTGGTAGTGAAGCGGAGTGGGACTCAGTCACGGAGTCTCACGCCTTCCACCGGTTCTCAGTCCGAAGACGAACGTTCTGGTAGCTGGTGGTTCGCCGCTCCGCTCCGCTCCGAGACCGTCTCGCGCGCGTGTGTGCGTGTGCAGCGTGCTTGGTGCGTGCGTGTGTGTGCGGCCGTAGAGAACGGCACGAGAGCGGCTCCTCCGCGGCTTCGGCGTGTTGATCTTGAGGAGCCTCCGTGACCATCTCCGCGTCGCACCTTTCTCGAACCACCCGACCGTCCCTCGCTCGCGAAGGGTCGATCGCTCCGTAGCACCGAGTCGGCGATCGAACGAGAGCAGCATCCGCCATTTTCGCAATCTCCGCGCGTGAGGCCCAATGAGGCCCACCGGTGCCGCTGGTACGGTAATCCGCGGGGCCGACGCCTGCGGCCGCGCCTCTGGATTCCAGAGTACACCAGCACACGGTCCGCAGGGATAGTCGTTAAAATTCTCGCCGCCCGGGTTTCCATCGCCGAGCCGTCCTCCTCACCTGTCGTTCTACGAGGGTATCCACACAGCAACCGCGAGTGCACGGTGTACTAAGAGTGTGCGTACGTACATGTGACAGCAGGTACACGTGGAGGTGCGTTAGTGAGGGACAACAACGACGACGGCTACGCCACTGCGCTGCATACCAGCGAGGGCCCCCGGGTCTGATCGCGGAGAAGGGGATAGAGAAGCCTAGAGAGAACTGAAAGGAAGCGACGAAGACGGAGCACGGGAAGGGGCCGCGATAGCGGGAAGAGGCACGAAGGGAAAGAAAGCGGCGGAGAGAAACGGAGACGGCGAAGGAAAAAGGAGAAGGAGAGAGAGGGGGGCGGGAGAGACAGACCGAAAGACAGAGGGCAAAGCGGGGCCCGATACGGCGGAGGGGGATCCGCAAGAAGGCGGCCATAATGGCCTGACGCGATCTCGAGCGAGCGGCTACAGCTGCTGCGAAATATCCGCGCTGGAGTTCCTCTCGCCGTTGCCGCCGCGTAACGTATTTTGCAACGCCGCGCCGCGACGACGTGTACGCGCCGCGCCGTGCCATGTACACGCGCCGCTCGTCCGCCCGTCTTTGGAAAGCAGCGACTGCGTAATCGACCGCGGAGTAGTGCTACCGGGCGGAGCCTCGTCAGCGTAATCGCTCAATGAGATCCTGAGTCACATCCGCGGGCTCTCCACGTTGCGCATGGGAAACGATCCGCCGGCTAACAATCAATGATTCCACGAGACCCTCGAGTGCCGCTCGGGAAGATCAACGCTCGCGGGGACCTGCCGGTATCACGCATCGAAATCTCCGAACGGTTTCTTCGCTTAGAACAGTTCTGGATCACTCCTTGAGTGTCATTTCATACATGAAATGTATGCGACCGACACGCGTAACATAATAATCGTTTTTTTTTCAACTTGAGAGAGTAACCAGCTAATAAGATTATCTGTAAGTCGGGTGTAAATGAATGTCCCTTTACTTCCTACAACTGGATTGCTAAAGACAGTTCTCCGATTCTTAACGATTGTTGAAATATCCCGACCACGCTTGCAATTCCCAAATTGCAAATTACAGCCAATTGAGGTCGATCGAATCCCTCTGTTCAATAAGTTAGTCAAGCCGAATTAGAAGAAAAATGAGGGGAGCTAATCAGGACACGGCGACGCCGTATTGTCGCTGCCGAGTACTCTACCTGGGTAGTTCAGTACCGCACGCGAGCAAGGAGGGTCTCCTGGGCGTGCAGGAACCCTTGAGGGAACTCTACCCCGAGCAGGGTGCGCTGGGTGCGCGCGGTATAGACTCCTGGCTGAGCGTTTGGAGCAACGGCCTGCTCTTGGAGAACGTCGACGAGCATCGCAAAAAGATCACGCGGTTCTTCCCCATCGAGGCGCTCCACTATTGCGCCGCGGTCAGACACGTCAAAGGTGGAAACGGCGATATGTCGAGCACGCGCTTCCTACCGTTGGACTCGCCGTTCGCGCGGACGCCCAACGCGAATCACCCACCCCTGTTCGCCGCCGTGCTGCGAAGAACGACCGGCATCAAGGTTCTCGAGTGTCACGCGTTCATTTGCAAACGGGACATGGCGGCCAACGCCCTGGTGAGGTGTTGCTTCCACGCTTATGCCGACAGCAGCTACGCGAAAGGTCTGGAGCCGGCGTCGGCGACGACGAACGGGGTCACAACGGGTCATCAGTCGAACAACAGTCTCTATCACACTCTGGGCGGCTCGAGTACTACCCTGGACAGCCCCCAACCGACCCGCATGGATACGGCATCGACGGATGACCTCAGTCTGTACAATGGCGACGAGAATCATAAGGTCTGGGCCAGGGGTCGCGATGAAGTCGATGGACTTTATCAGGAACAGGGCACCCTGCGAAGCACGAAGGGATCCAGACCGCGCCAGTTGGTCGCCCCACCGCCGCCACCACCGCCGCCACCCCCTCCCGCCCAGCCGTTGCTGCTGGACGAATCCTCTTCCGCGCGACGGAAAGCTAATAAGAAGCTCAAGAAAATGAAGACTCGTTCGTTGCATGAGGACGCCTTACAACAGCAGCAGCAGCAGCAGCAACAGCTTCTACATCATCAGCTGCACCAAGGCATATATGCCAACGGCCACGGACATCACACCCTGGGTCACCCCATCAGGCAACAACACTATCACCCTCACCCGCTACCACCCAGTAGCCGATCCGTCGCCGGTACTTTGGCTAGACCGGCGCCGGTGCTGTTGGTACCAGCTGCGACCTTGCCACGGAAAAGTCATCATCATCCACGTTTAAGGCCGATTCCGGCAGCGACACCGATAGTACCGGTCTACGCTCCTTTGCCAGTGGTACCGCCAACCGCGGCATCGGCGGCGGCAATCTATCCGGCGTACGGTACCGCCGGAAACAGAGGCAGACGACACCCGGAGGCGGATAACTCCACCTTGAGCACGTCCAGGAGATTAGCCGCCTCTCACGCGGATCTCACCGCGCCGGAAACAGTCGCTCGGCAGGCGGACAGCCCGGAAAACGAGTCCCGCTTTGGTACTGGCATATATCGGCGGAAAGGTCATCTGAACGAGAGAGCCTTTTCTTACAGCATCCGGGCGGAGCATCGTAGCAGGAGCCACGGCAGCCTGGCCTCCTTGGGCTTCAGCGCGCAGAACGGTAACGCGCTGCCGAAGGAGGAGAAGAAGGATCGCGAGATTGCTCAACTGGTTGCCGGATTGAGCCTCAACGATGGATCAGAACGGACACAGGTCCCGAATTCGAGGGGAGGATATCATCATCACCAACAGCAGCAGCAGATTCAACCGCTGCCTAGGCCGAGACCCCGTTAAAATCGCTTCTTGAAACTGGTCTCTTGCAGTGTCATGCTGTCTGAAGCTTTCTAGGTGATCCAGAACGACTTCTGGATATTTTTTATAAAGGAAAATACTTTAAAGAGCGAAGCATTTTTAGTTAAATTGTTATATTCATCTTCTCTGTATCAGATATGTTGGTCATACAGTCAACTACTAATGATTTGCTAATGTCCCTCGCTAGATTAGAATGCTAACAGGTAAATATAGCATATTCGAGCGTTAATCTGGTCGTCATTAACGATAAAGTTAAAATGGACAATTAATGTCTATCGTTCGATCGTAAAAAAAGGAACATTCTTCGTGGAATCCTTTCTTCTTTTATTAGTGATGTTACCACTGGACGATTGTTCAAAATGAATCTTGCTTTTTCCGGTCGATCGCGTTGATGCAATAGCGACTTTGTCTGGGTTAACAAACATCTTCTTGCAGCTTGCTTCACCAAGCGTGACATCGGCGCTACAGTTACGAGCGATTTCATGTTCCGTCGTCATGTCACGTGGAAAAAGACTGCATGGCGAAACGTTGCAATTCCGACTCCGTAGCAAGTTTTGCCTAACGGTATTATACGGCAGCAGGCATATTTTAAATTACCTTTCTTAATTAATTCGATAATGATGTTAATTTATATTCATTTTGAAGACACGAGACTTATAACTTTCCGTTGAGCATCATCTATAAAATTTCTCCTAAGAGCATCTCATTCGATCAATGTAAAAACGGAGAATCAGCGAAACGTCGTAGATTACGCAATGACATAACGTCTCGAGAAATGCAACGACTTTTCTGTCGCAGAACAAACTAATTAGGCAGTAATTATTGTTGGTTTAATTAATATTCATTTTAAAGGCACAAGACACATATTTTTGCGTTGAGCATCTATAAAATTTCTCCTAAGAGCATCTCATTCGATCAATGTAAAAACGGAGAATCAGCGAAACATAGATTACGCAATGACATAACGTCTCGAGAAACGCAACGACTTTTCTGTCGCAGAACAAACTAATTAGGCAGTAATTATTGTTGGTTTAATTAATATTCATTTTAAAAGCACAAGACACATATTTTTGCGTTGAGCATCTATAAAATTTCTCCTAAGAGCATCTCATTCGATCAATGTAAAAACGGAGAATCAGCGAGACATAGATTACGCAATGACATAACGTCTCGAGAAACGCAACGACCTTTCTGTCGCAGAACAAACTAATTAGGCAGTAATTATTGTTGGCTTAGGAAGAGGACAGTTCTGCCGTCTGAAGCTCGTTAGACGAAGGCGTAGAACACAGAGGAAACAGAGACCGCTATATGTATTTTCTCTGTGAAAATAAGTCGAAAGATTCGCGGATAGATTAACAAGGATTTCATTGTCGCCCGCATTAAAGGTTATTTCCTCGGATACTTGGGCACGTATAACTTAAATATCAAAAGTTCAATCTTTTAATATCGTATTTTCGTATAATTAAACCTCATGTTTTATATAGTGCTTTAACGAGATGTAATCAGCAACTAATTTACTGCACGTCTAACATCTGCGCGATTTATGTGACTCGTGGAAAAAGAAGCAAGATGATGTGTTACATAAGGAACAGATAAAAAAAGTCTGGTCAGATGCCTCGGTATTTGCATTCGCGAGAAAAATATGCGAGTCGCGTACATTACGTCGACCGAGAAAAGTGTCCTTGGTTATGACATTTTGCGGCCACGCGCTTGTTGAAGCTTCATCGTTAGCACCGATGTCGCAAGCGAGATTTAAATGCAAAAGGAATCGCGATCTGGTTCGACGTTGAGGCGAGTGTTTTTTTTTTCAATGCGTTCGAAAGTTCTCCCAGAGTCACGCACAAACGTATACATCTATCACCGTGTTATCGAGAAAAAGTTTAATTTTTATTACCACCGAGAAAAAGATCAGCCGCGACGTTTCTGTCGAAGAAAACCATGTTGCGAGAATGTATTTTAAGGACAAGAGGATGATTATACACCGCATGTCATAAAAGATATTAATTCTCTGAGAGATGATGATAATGATACGAGTGTCATCACCGATTAAAAATACCTAACGCACCGAGATGCTTTTGTGTAGACGTCAATGCTAGTAATGATTGCCGCGAAGAGCTTAATTGCTCAGTCGCTATAATTAACTTTCGCCTTGTTTCATTGTGACGCGGTTACGTAAACCGTCGAATCTCGACGTGTCGCCTGCGAAACCTCGCCCAAATTTTCTCAGTCGCAGTTACAGTCCCTCCGACAGTTTCACGTGTCGCTCGAGGTAGAAACGAACGGCGAGCTGCGCGAAGCTCCTGAATGATTCATACACGTAATTAATATTCGGTGATTAGTGGACCAGGAACTACGTAAGAACAATTATTCGTCATTGCGTAACTGGGACGTAGCATTCAAATGCCGCACAGAGGTGCGTTTCTCTTTCGATCGGCACGTCATCGAGCGCGTCGATTATAGGCAATAAAAAATGCCTCGCCTTTCGCCACGAATTTCTCCGAGCGGCATAATGATAGGTGTTACGCAGAAAAATACCGACGGAGGATGTGCGGACAGAAAAAAATAATTCGTAGCCTCCTCCAAATGAATCTCGAAAAATTCTATCCAAAGTGCTGGACGTTACATATATCCCCATAATATTCATGAGATTTCGCAGCGCGCATAGATTAACTGAAATAAACATAATCTCATGCGTTACATAATCGCCAACGTTTTTTGTTGTTCCAATTTGATACTCGAGTGGGGAAATAATATGCAAAGCGATTCAATGTATAAACTCGGAGCGGCAACGCGTTTATAGAAGGCGACATCGCCGCTTAATCGACGCCTGTCTTCGAGCAGAAAGTCGCGGCGACATCACGTAGGCATCGTTAATGCGTCAGCGCGTAACTTGTTCGCGGCGGAAGTATTATGCAAATCGGGAAACAGGTAGATCCTTTTTCTCCGGAACGATCCTTCTCCAAGATCTTACCGGTGAAAGAGAGCCGCGAGTCATATGCGTCAATATGCGTGAGGAAATACCGCCGGATTATATTCTCTCTCCGGTCGATTGTAAGAGAGAAAAATGAGGAGAAGACATTTAGGTGCAATTGTAATGGAAGAAAAAAATAAATTCCACGCCACTGATCATTATCGCCCGCGCATATCGGTCGTGCATACGACGGACGCGTACTTTATTAGTCACCGACTATCGTTGCCACGTTGTTTTCACGTCAAGGCTTCAACGCGGCCGTATAATTCCCTCTTTTCTTTTCTTTTCTACTGCGCTCTTCCCAGGCGCTCGATCGAAATTTCGCGACACCTGATAAAATAAAACTGCACGTAGATCGTTATATTGCTGCAGCTATTGTAGTGTTGCTGAGGTAGAAAGCGAGTGTAAAATATTTATGAGCCGAGACAAAAGTGCGTGTACAGGCATATATACGAATACGGTGGTATAACTACATGTACGTGTGTATTTATCGAATAAGCCAGTCAAAGTTAATTAAACGAGCATGCCATTAAGTCGCGCGGGAACGTCGGAGAGTGTCCCGATTCTAATCGACGCGCGTAATTAGAGACCTAACGAGGACATTCTCGCTCGCGATTGGAGATATTTTGCGAAGCGCGAGATCCATTTTTCCGATACGTTGCGTTTCAGCAAAACTGTCTGAAACTGTGATAGAGACCCAGACTGTTTTACTGAAACGCTTTAAAGAACGGGAGACGAATCTCGATGCCGAGCATCCACGGTTGCTCGGACACGAGACGCGTTATTTCACTTACGGTGCATTACATGTACTATGCACGCGAAACCTTTCCGTCGCCGGCCAACATTCCGTTCTCCCGTGTAATTTTCAGGGTTAACCGCCAGCCGTCGTACGCGATACTCTAGTTTCAGGATTGCAACAAACCACCGGTGGAATGCAAATTACCTTGATTGGTAGCTTAAGTGGAGCGCGTTCTTTCTCTCCCGTTAATAAAAGGGCTTTTCGGCGAGTTTATTATTTCCGAACGAGTCGAAAGCTGGATATAAAATCTTAGGCGTCCTCGAGGAAAGTCTGCGCTCTGAATGCTTTACCGTGTACGAGAGAAAAATTACCGGGTTATTAGACTGTGACGAATTTTCAAAAAAAAAAAAGGAGGAAAGGAAATGCGATGTCGGCGTCGGGGAAAGAATGTTAAGCGATACGTCCATTCGGCACGAGATGAAAAAGTTTTATCTCTCGGAGAGGAGAAAATGCGACAGTAACAGACTCTTCAGACCTCTCCTCTCTTTCGGCGATGTTGCACAGAAAGTGCAATTATCGGAACTGCCGAAGGGAAGGGAGTGCTGAAGGTATCTTGCGATTTCCTCCTTTTCCAAAGGAGACGGGGAAGCCTGGTTTCTTTCGGACATTTCCTCGAGCTGGAAGCGCGGTGGTACACCAACGGTTTCCAAGCGCATTTATTCCAGCGTTTTCACGCCAGGATGCAGCCATTGTACTTGAATATGTAGGATAATGAAATGTCGTGTGAGAGAGACGCGGCAAGCGATTTGTAATTCGCGATTATAACTCATAATTATAGAACGTAAACGGCGCTGTAAATGTAAATGCGGCACAGTTACAGCGCCCCGATATCGTAACTGTAAATTTCTATGTCGACTTAATCGCCCTGTACATTCGGACAGAATCATTCGACGTCTTCCATTTGATTCTCTCTTTCTGGATACGTTAGTATGCCAAATATGTTAACTCGATATAACGATTATACTAACCGCGTAGCGATACATTAAAACTCAACCTCGTGTTTATCCGTGCGGTAAATGAGCAGCTGGCTCCGCGAAGCTGGGCTTGGAAGTAGTGGTCTTAATTATTCCAAGTTTCGCAACTTCGAAGCTTCGAAGAAGCCGAAAAAAAAACGGAGAAAAACTTCGAACATCAAATTTTCGAAGTTTTCAAATTTTTCGAAGATACGAAGTTTCAAAGTTTCGAATATTCGAAGGCAACTAATGCATTAACATGTAAATTTTCAAAGACCGACCTGATTTATCACCTGTATTGGTGACTGAAGGTAGACTATCGAACTTATATAAATGACAGTGAGTGGAATGCAAGGAGTGAGAAACTTTTATACCCGGATTCGTCACACAAATCGAAAGATTCAACGTTCAACGATCAACTAACATTTCGTATATTCATTTCATTACACTACTGTCTCTATCTTCTATTCTCGTGTTTCGAATCAAGGCAGTTGGTCACAATAAATATATCTATAGTCGTTCTCAACGGTCTCTCGAGGACTAATTTGCGATGACGATGAATTGTGTTTTTATGAGCGAACGGACAAATATGTGTCCGACAAACAGTACGTTTGTTTTTTACACTTTATAATGACATTAATTAGTTGGCATTTAATTAGTTTACAGTTATAATGAAAACGATTAATTTTGCAAAATTTGTTATTGCTCTTTATCTTGTTAATACATTAGTTGACTTCGAATATTTAAAACTTTGAAAATTCGAAACTTTGAAACTGTAAAAATTAAAAACTCCGAATCTTCGAAAAATTTGAAAACTTTATTTAATTTTCGAAGAATTTCTACGAAGCTCCGAATCTTCGAAGATTCGGAGCTTCGAAATTGAAAATCTTCGAAGAAAAATCCCAGCTCTCTTGGAAGTCACAACGAAAGTCACCGGATTAAGAAATGACGCGTCATCGACCGCAAAATGACGATTCATTTCTTACTCTTGGCTGTTTTTCACTCCGTCCACTTTACATTGTTATTCGCAGTCGCGTAAATTTTATATATACACATATACTTTACTCTTCATCGTTTCTAGGCTTCCCAGCGAGAAATGTCCCGTCGATCGACGAGTCATTTCTCACTGGGTTTAAAACAATACGCGCGTGACAAGCCACGTTACCAGTCGATCGCGTTAAGGGGACACGCATAGCGGTACAGGCACGTGTCCGAGAATAGTGCCTCAACTTCCTCTCCTTCCGTCTTATCGCCCTTCCGTCGGTTGGCAGCCGGGTACAACAACCCGCTGGAGGAGCGATGCAAGATGAAGAAGGGGACGAAAATGCATTGGAAGGAATGCGCTAATGGCATCCGGATGCCGGTGCGTTACTCCACGACCTTGCAGCTTTCCGCAGTGAAATGAGAAACTGCATAGCTGCTTCTCGTGCGGTGGGGCACAGGCCGCCGCTTCATTGTACGACAATCAATTATACCGTAACCGACGTGTATGCATGCATGCGTGTGTATGTGCGTGTACGTGCGCGCATGTGTGTGCAATTGGACGCGATAGTTTATTTAAAGACGATTGCGTCGTGCGTGAGACGCCTGTCATTAATTATTAACACTCGCGTCCGAGACGAGCACTGATAGGAATGTGCCATCGAGAATGCGAAAGAAGACTCATTACGTTTATAACTGCATATATATAAATATATATAAATATATAGATAACAT